CTTGACTGCTCGATTAGCCACATCCGATCCAGCGCCATCGTATTCAGCCTCACAAATGTGTGGCCTCCGATTTCGTCAATCCGGTTCGCCTCTTCGAACGTGACTTCGTAGCGCTTCAAGTCCTCAATCCTCATGTCCCGTCCGAACGAGGTATCATGGTTGCCGACCTGTCAAAAATCCTGTCAGCAATTGCAACCTCTTGTAGCTCCAAACTAGTCGCACCAAGTACAGCGTCTTAAAGGGCAAAAAGCTGGAAAAGACCCGAAAGAACCGCCCAGCGTATTCGCCGTAATCCGCATCTGACGTCCAACGATTCCCCTCATCGAATTGGTCGCCGAGTACCAGCGCCACATCGGGTTTGTGCACGTCCACAGCCGCTCGGGCGGCTATATGCACCTGCCAGTCCACCCAGAGACGCTCGAGCCATGAGCGCCTCCTCTTACCCAGCAGATGCACGTCCGTCACCACCAGTCCGCCTACAAGTAAATGAATGCTCCCCGTGAAACATTAAGTCTTGTGTACCTTCAAGCAACACATCAGTACAACAAGTCACATTCATGCAACGTGCATGGCTGGATCCACGAGAGCCACACGATCTAATGTCTACAAACGATGTAATTTTTGAAATCAACTGCCAATAAAATACCGAATATTACCGCTCTGAATTGTAATCGGTACCTGTAGGACATCACTCGGTGCCCACGTGCCTGGAGGCACTCGGACCATGTGCCCCTAACTCTCGCTTAAGTACGAGCTGCTCGGTACCTTTAACAACGCTCTTTTTTCTATTTGAGGGCCGTTCTTAACCACTGCCATAAGTGCCATGCCATGGCATACTTGTCGCAGCGTCATGACAGTGTGGCAGTCTTTCGTTAGGAACGCAACTGCCACCAATATTATTTTTTTCTTTTAACAAAATTTTACGATAAAGAAAAACAAAACAAATCTTGCTGGCCAAAAGGAAACGAAGATGCCCGCAACGGCAAGAGCGCGAAGAGGACCACAGGCGCGCAAATTGGTCGGCCCAAGCGCGTCAAGGTAATGTTAGCAAGCGGTACGCCACCTGTAGATGCTCTCAGGAAACCCTCCTCTGAGTTTGTTGGCGTTGTGTCCACTCCACTTGCATTTTGTGGGGTTGATGTTGCAGGTGGAGCTCGCTCTGTTGGTCGTGACTTTTGTGGGCCTCTTAGCGGTGGGGGAGGTAACGACCGCGATGCTGGCGCAGTACTACGCATATGCGAAGCTGGTAAAGGTTGTTGCGGTGTTGTAGTTGATGCTGCAGGCCATATTTCTGGTGTAGACCGTGCTGCTGGTGACGGAGATCATGTTGCTGGTACCGTTACTGGTCATGTCGCTGGTGTAGGCCTTTCGGTCACTCGTGCTACTGGTGTAGACCATGTTGTTGACCGCCATGCCAATGGCATCGACGGAGACCGTGTTGCTGACGAATGCTATGTTGCTACTGGGAACTGCGTTGCTGAAGGTGGGTTTGCTGCTGGTGGACCCTTTGTTGCTAGTGGAGACCGTGCTGCTAGTGGAGATAGTGCCAGTGGGTACTGCGCTCCTGGTACGCGCACCGTGATCGATATAACGGACTGTGGCACCCAAATTAACGGTGGAAATGCCTGCTATGTTGCAGTCAGCGAACCCCGATCTAACTATCCACAACATAATTATACGGAGGATGGCGACCGCGCTGTTGTTCTTCCAAATGCCGAAGAACGTGGTGTACCGGAGCCTGGTAGTAACGATTCACAGCCGGTAAGCCAAGGTGTCACCGCTGACCGTATTGGAATGCAAGTACGCAACTGGACTGTTAAAAATCCGGGAGCGGTCCCGACGCCGACATGTGAGGACTATGCGTCGTGGACGGTGGCTCAACTGCGGAAGGAGTGCAGCGAGAGAAAGTTGCGAGTGCCCAGGAAGCTCGGTAAGCTTGCGCTCGTTGAACATTTGAAGAGGCACGATGCTACACGTAGATCAGTTCAAGCAACTGCTGACGATGAAAACCTGTTGGATCCAAGCTTGCGCAAAACAAAACACTGCTGCATTCGACTTCTTAATGTTCTTTTCTCGGACCGTTTTGCTACGCGTCTTGCTTCATCCGACGACGCGGCAACGAGAGACCAAATAGACACGGGTGAGGTAAACCAGAACACGTGCTTTTGGGAGGAGGTAGCCAAGGCGTTTCAAACCAACACAACGGATTACAATGGCCTCTTCACCTTCAATGACCCTCGCTACATCGGGCTCGACCCTTCTGTCATCGTCCAGCATGATGCTCCACGACTTTATGACATGTGGAAGAAAGTGAACACCAAATACATCAAAGCCTTCTCGAAGTTCGATGTATCCGGCCAAAATTCCAACGACTTTTACGAGTTCTGCGATGGAAGTTTGGATGCTGCGTATGTCAAGGTTTCCATTAAGTAGAAGCCAGAGTTGGAGTCGTATGTGAAAGGGGGCATGCACGAGGAAGATGAAGTCGACTCGATGAACTTAAAGCGCTCGTCAAAGGGCAATCGCTCTTCACGCAAGTCAACTAAGTGGCAGGACAACATTCTTACGACCTTTGATCGCATCGCTGAGGTACTTATCGGAAATCAGAGCTCAACAGCAGCGTCGACTAAAGCCGTCACACCAAACACTGATGAGGAAGACGTGCTACTTGGCCGGATTGCTAAACTTCACCAAGCTAAACCCCAAGTGAAGAATAGTTTACGTGCGTCTGTATCCAATGAAGAAACCGACGTGGCATTGACGAACAGCCTTGGGCTCTACTTTAAACGACTACAGCAGTACGAATCCCGCCTGGCGGAGCTGGATTAGTTGTGAAGTCTGGTGTGGGTAAACATCAGCTTTTTCTCTATCTTGCGGGAAATGACCAACTTGTGGTTATCACGAGGACGAAACAACAAGGTAACAGCAGTACCCATTTGATATTTAATCCATGCAAGTTGGATTCACTGCTCCTGTGTTTCTTTGCGTCGTCTGGCCTGATTTAACTGCGGGCGCAAAATGGTATCGCGTTCAAGAAGATCGACGACAGCACCTCTAATCCACTCCGAAAAATTATAGGTGTCCGTGTCGACAAGTAAGTCAGAGGAGTCGTACAGTTGACGATACCTTAAAGTATCTTGCGAAGCAACAGTACATCGCTTGATGCATCGTTCGATTCCAGTGTTGCATCTAACGTGTAACGGGGTACGTAGCCCTAAGTGTACCCTGGTTACATGAAGTGTGACACTTCACACTTCAGATGTATGACACGTCATACTCCGGGATATTTGGTACAAGGTACCAAGGTCGTTCAAAGCCAACCATTGGTCAAACGACATTGCATTTCTATAGGTAACTTAAGTTTGTATTAAACCCAAAACTTAACCTACCTATAAATATACTCAGTTTACAATCTACCTTATTTAGGTCACTTCGCTCTCTTTAAATAAAGAGGGGACCTGTGAACTGCCGTTCACTGAGAGTTTGTATACTCTCGGAAGATAACTTCCTCTAGCGCAAGGTGCTGTGTGACCCCGTCACACAACGCCTCCTCTAAGTCCTTATCATTATCCACTCGGTAGAATATATTTTTTCTTGAAGCCGCCGGTTGATACACCAATTGTGTAAGATGCACGCAGCCATTATTGTGCGAGGCACTCTGTTAAAGGCGATTCCCATCGGCGCATTGGAACCTCTCCACTTACTCACCAGTAGACCAAAGGCCATCTCAATTCTAATTCGCAGCTGGCTCAAGTGAAAACTGTAGCTGTCATGGAACGTAGTTGATATTCTTGGTCGAGGAAACGGGGTCAAGAGCTGGTTGGTGCTGGTGTAAGCGTTATCTGCAACCACGTACAATTCAGCTGGAAACTTACTAACGACGCTATAGTCTCCACTTTAGAAACGCAACCGCATCTCCAGTTCCACCGGGACTAGAGCATGTCACGGCTGTAAACCGACTTAGATGGTCGCAACAGGCTTGCACATTAACACCATAACGTCGATAATGCCCCGAAAAAAATGAGCGAACTCTCGGAACGTCGTCCTTCTTCGGCACCAGTATGGGGCACAACCAGCCGTCGATAGCTCCTACGCATCCTTTCATTACACGAGAGCTGCTGAGGTTTTCAAATTGCTTTGCAGCGTAACGTTGAGTAGCTATGGCTGAAGGGAACTGTAGCTGTAGATCTGGATGGTCGACTACTGCATCCACAACTTCATGGATGCTGGTGTAGAAGGCCGACACGCTAGCTCCACTTGTTACCTGAATGTCGTGGTACGAACCGCCTCCAAGCCAACGCAAGCACATGTGCAGCTTGTTAAAGGGGCTTATCGGCTCAACACCAGTCCTGTTGCGAGACTTTTTCGTCAGCACGTAGATATGGATCCAACTTCGTAGCAAGCGCCATAAATGACTCACAAGACATCTTATAGCACTTCTGGAACTGACCCTCAGCCTTCCGTGTGCCTTCCAGTCTAGCCGGACGCGGTGTCGACATTGGCGGCACGATTCAGCAGCTAAAGCAACGAGCGGCAAGAGCGCTAGCAGTAGCGTTAGAATTGCGCCTAGATCCCCCTCCATTTTGTTGCAAAACTTCTGGATTTCCCTTCGTTATTCAAAAATTTACTTAATGTCACCGTGGCAAAGTCACTTTTGGTGGCACGGGACTTATGCCATGCGTGGCATTTCCACCCTACCCCTAAATTTTTTGGCCAATCATCTGGCTTTAATTTCTACCATGGCATGGTGGGCGCATTTTAAGAACGGCCCTGAGGGTGGCACTTTAGAAGGGACACTTTGATGTTTGTACACGAATTATGTTCCGGTGATGTGGCGGAGATGGGCCTAGATCGCAGTTGCTTACACTTCAAAACTCGACCAATAGTAGCACTTCAAAAGCTTTTCACGCATTATGATTGGCCAGTTACGCCCCAAATTCAAGTTGCCTTTGTGATCGCGGCGATTCACTAAGACCGCCGAACTTCACTTGGCATACAGACTGTATAACAGTATTCGTAAATTCAGTCATGGACTCGCAGCACCACTTGGCTACGACAGACGCGTTCCTACCTGTGGGCGTAGATCTGCATGCGATGGCATCCGTACAGCCTCTTCCGCAGTCCGTAAATACAAGCATGGGCATGGACACTGGAGACATTCTCGCCGACGTCAAATTAGGTCCCGAGCAAGCGTCGCCGGCGTCGCCCGCGCCGTCTTCCGTGTCTTCAAAGGAGAAATGGCAGCAGAAACGGCACGTGTGCTGTACGCCTGACTGCGGCAAGAGCTTCGACTCCAAGTGGGCTTTAATCCGGTACATTGTCGCTGACGTAGCAGTGCTTGGTAGGAATAAACCTGATCTGATGTTTACTACTTCCATTGTAGACACATTCGTGTGCACACTGGTGAGAAGCCATTCCCATGCACATACCCGTCATGTGATAAGTCTTTTGCCGAGAAATCTGCTATGACACGGTACGTTTTTGCCCCTGTTAAACGGATCTTGAGAGGTTGTACACTTAAAGTGTGCTAATATATATATGTGAATGCATTTGTTATTTACAGTCATCTGCAGACGCATTCACGGGATAAGCCGTACAAGTGTACGTATGCGGACTGTACCAAGAGCTTTAAGGGCAAGGATTACCTCGAATTCCACTTAAAAATCCATGCGGAAGGCAGTCCTTACGCCTGCGACCATCCGACGTGTTCCAAGACTTTTTGCAGCCCCAAGAGTCTCAAGAAGCACATCCGATTGTGGCATAACCCTGGAGGCAAGAGCACTTCCATGGAGCAGCAACTCAGAGAACGCATCATTAAGATGGCTACGCGTAACAAGGACAAGACGCGTAAGTTCGAGGCGACTATTCGAACGCTCATGGAGGAGAACGAGTCTCTGAAGAGGAGGATCGTGGAGCTCGAGAGTCTCCAACAGCAGCAACAGCACCAACAACAGCTACATCACCACCAACAGCGATTGTAATTCCAGTGTACTCCCTCGGTCTATTGACTCCTCGCGTGAGGAAGCGAACTGTACAGTGAATTTATTGAGAACGGAGGAGACACAAAAGAGACCGACGAGAGACACACAGTATGCGTGTTAGTTTGTGGGACGAGATTCAGTGAGCACGACGAAGAGGGGGGAAGTGCTTGAAGGATTAGTTTCTTTCAGTAATCGAACGTACAGGTGTGAGAGATGAAGGCTTTATTTCGATATTGAATAACCAACCTGAGCGAAGACACGAAGACCGACCAATCCAGCTGCAGTTGCAGGAGATATTGTAGCGCTCTTCCTTACATGCCTCGCGGCTTAGGTCCTCCAGCTGCCTTGGCCATGATGATCTGGTCCACACGGAGCACCGTGATGGCAGCATCCGCACCGAGACGGATAGCAGACATCTTGGTCTGAAGGTGGTCCCAAATCCCCTTGTCCAAAGCATCCGGAATAACGTGGGACTCGTGTTCGTTCTACAGCAACAGACACGTCAACAACATTGTCAGTTCATCAAAACTCTAACAAAAAAATGGCAATACACTCGACTTACGTCCACATCCACGCCAGCGCTAACGTTGCCACCCGCGTGAGCAGCATACAGGCTAGAGATAACCTCAGTGGCCATCTGTCCCGAGTTCTCGGCCAGAATCCGAGGTACAACCTCAATAGCTTCTCCGAACTTCTTAATGGCGTACTGGTCTAGTCCAGGCGTAGCCTCACCGAAGCTCTTGATCTGACGCGACAATTCGATCTCCGTGGAGCCTGCGCCTGACACGAACCGGCCGTCCCGACACACTGACTTTACGCAGTTCACACCGTCGTCAATAGCACGTTCAATGTCGTTCAGCACGTTGTCAGTGCTGGCACGCAGCACGATCGTCGAGATCTTGGCGTCCTCCTCGTCTTGCTGGAAGACCGTCACCTTCCTGCCTCCGATCTCCTTGACCGTCACACTGTCACAGAAGCCCATCTCATCCGGTGTGGGGGCTCCCAGACGGACCAGAGCGTTAGCGTTCACTGCACGACACAGACGACGCAGTTCCCACTTGGACTGGATCTTGATAGCCATAAGGTTGTACTTTTCCAAGAAGTGGAGCGCCATCTCACTGATGCTACCACCCGAGACGACAACTGTCGCGCCAGACTCGCTGATAGCACGAACAGCCTCCTCCAAGTGTTTTTCCTCGCCCTTGTTGTAGTTCATGAGCTCGTCTGCGTCCTTAATAAGTACCGTGCTCTTGGCTTCCGTAGAAGAGATCTCAAGTCCACAACCGAACACTGCGACCTTCGCCTTAAGTGCCTTCTTGACATTTCCCTCCGTGTTACGCTGGATGACCATACCACGGATCACTGTCGAGTCGTGTAGGTTGCCGCCCATGATCTTCGCCACGCGGATGTTGTCCACGTTGATCGACGGCTTCTTGGGGGCTGCAGGCATAACATTCAGACAGGCCTCGGCCACGAGCTTAGCGAGCAGATCCTCATATCCGTACTGCTTGGAAGCCAGAGACGTCTTAATGGCCTTCTGCAGCTCCACCTGGTCGCGTGGGTCCTTAATCTGCACGCTCTGTAGTTTCTGAAGAATCTCCTGGCACTTGTCGTGCGCTTTTTGGTATCCTGTGACGATCTCGCTGGCGTGCAGACCCATACGTAGCAGACTGGCAGCTTCCATAAGCAACTCACCCGCCAGAGCCACAACGAGACACGTGCCATCACCGTAGTCATTCTCCTGCATCTTAGCAGCCATAACGACCATACGTGCGGCCGGGTGGATGACTTCCAACTCCTTAACGATTGTAGCTGTGTCGCTCGTGACGAAAATGCGCTCCAAGTGGTTGATCACGAGCTTGTTCATGCCATTAGGACCCAGCGACGAGCGTGTGATGGCCGCCAGCTGCTTCACAGCATCAATGTTCTTGGCCACAGCCTCATCCACACCTTCAAAGTGCTTGTGGCCGTCCTTTAGCATCGACGACAGGCCGCCAGCCACGTTCAGTCCCATCGACTTGGACATGATTGCTCTCTTAGTTGCCTCGGCGTTTTGCTTGGTGATAAAAAGATTCCCCTCCCGCCACAGAAGAGATACTTTTTCGCGATTGGTTTAAATTCAGAGATCTTTTTCAACCTATCAAATGCGATTTGAAGCTAAACTGCTCGTGACCAGCTAAAAGCTGCAGTTGTTGGCACACCTTCGACCACTATGGATGGCTTCTCGCTTAACATCTCGGCGTCTAGCGGTTCTCGTAAGCCTGCTAAGAAGAAGAACACTTTCCGTGCAAAGCAACAGGCCAAACGTGCTAAGTCTAAGGCAAGCAAGACGGGAAAAGTGCCCCAAAAGCCGGTTGGCGGCCATGGCCACGAGCAGCGACAGCGCTCAGTCGGCAATGGTCCCAGTCAGCACAAACCCGTGACACAGAGGCCACAGCCAAAGAACGAGGCGCCGAAGGTTGAAGCACCGAAGATTGAAGCGGCTATTGCTGTAGCTGACGAGAATGTAGAAATTGTGTCAACGCTCCACGAGGAGGAATCGGAGGAAGACGACGATCAATCGGATGAAGAGACAGCGAAGTCACAGGAACGAGAAGAAATCGCGAAAAGTGATAGTGAATCTGGAGAAACCGACAAGCTTGCGGAGGCTAAACCAAAGACGTTCGGTACGCGTCGTAACCCCAACAAAGAGGGTTACAGTGTGGAGAAGTTCACTCAGTCGCGAGTCAAGATCGACAATGTATTGTCTAAGCCATTGACGTCATCATCGAGTGAGAAAATATTCGCTGCGAACACATTCGAGTCCATGCAGATGTCGGAAAAGCTCGTGAATGTGCTCAAGAAAGATACCGAAAGAGGTGGCTTTGGCTTTGCGCGGCCGACCAACGTGCAGGTACAGACGATTCCCTCAATACTAAAGGGAAATGATATTCTAGTCAAGAGTGAAACAGGGTCCGGTAAGACCCTCTCCTATCTGCTGCCTATCGTCCAGAAACTACAAGCAGTATCCCCATGTATCCAGCGACAAGATGGTTGCATGGCTCTAATATTGGCCCCGACACGTGAGCTATGTACACAGATTTTGGAGACTGCTAACAGACTCATCCAGCCATTTGTGTTCCTGGTTCCGGGAGCCATTATCGGCGGTGAGAAGAAGAAGGCGGAGAAGGCACGACTTCGCAAGGGTATTATCATCCTGGTCGCCACGCCTGGGCGACTGGCCGACCATCTCGTTAATACGCTCTCCTTTAACTACTCTCGTCTGCAATTTTTAGTGCTGGATGAAGCAGATCGACTACTAGATATGGGCTTCGAGAAGCAGATCACGCAAATTCTGACTATTCTAGACGGCAAGAAGACGTCGCAGAAGCGTCAAAACATCTTGGTGTCTGCCACAGTTAACAGCGGAGTGCAGCAGCTGGCCAAGATGAGTCTGTCTAAGCCCGTACTGATCGATGCCGATGCCTTAACTAGTGGTGAAGAACCAGCGTCCGACATGAAATCTGCTAGGCAGGAGAAGTTCTTTACGCCGCACCAGTTGATGCAGCACTTCATGCTTGTCCCAGCCAAGACACGTCTGTGTGCCTTGACTTGTTTCTTACGTAAAGAACTACGCCACGCTCCTCGTGATCACAAGAAAGATGGAAGCCCTGGCAAGTGCAAGATTGTGGTCTTCCTGTCCACTTGCGATGCTGTGGACTTCCACTACGCTCTGTTCCGCAAGTGCGCGTGGCCTTCAGGTAAAGGAGCATCGGAGGAGTCTGAAAGCAGCGGTGTGGCGTCACTTTTTGGGAGCCAAGGCCCGATATTCCGACTGCATGGCAACATCCCTCAACAGGAACGAGTGACGACGTTCAAGAGCTTCTGCTCTTCAGGTTCTGGTGTGTTGCTGTGTACGGATGTTGCTGCTCGTGGTCTCAACTTGCCTACAGTCAAGTGGATCGTTCAGTACGACCCACCAACGGAGACACGTGACTACGTGCATCGTGTGGGTCGTACAGCTCGAAGTGGAAATCAAGGAAGCAGTCTGTTGTTCCTGATGCCGTCGGAGTCGGAGTATTTGGACTATCTGAGTAAACAGGGCTTGAAGCTGAATGCTTTGAGTCTGGAGAAGACCGTCTCTCGCGTGGGCAAGTACGGGGGATTCCTGACGACGTCTCGGAAGAAACTACTGCACGAGGTAGTGCAGAGCGACCTCCAGTTCCTGTACGAGCAGACGCTGCTGGCAGACAAGGAGCTGTTCGAGTTGGCTTGTCAAGCTTTCCACTCGTTTGTGCGTAGTTACGCCACGCACTCGTCGGACACACGCAACATTTTCCACGTCCGTAGTCTTCACTTAGGTCATGTTGCCAAGAGTTTCGCACTGCGTGACCCGCCTGCGTCTTCAAAGTTGCGTAATACTGGACGAAACGCCAAGAAGGGTACGCTCCACAAGCGCAAGGAGAGAGACGATAAGCAGCAGGCTGTGGTCGCGAAGAAGCACAAGAAGATGCGCGACGAGAAACGCAGATATGCGCAGAACGTCTCTGAGTTCGCCGACTAATCGTGCAATAAAAAAACAACATAGAGCACTGCATTTCCGTATGAATCGTGTGAGGTTGTATACAAGTTATCAGACACTCAAGTGCTCTTCCTCTTTTTGGACTTCTGCTGCTTGACTTTCCCCTTTTTAGCAGGTTCCTGTTTCTCTGTTGTCTTCTTCGCTTTCTTCTTCGACTTGGTGGCAAATAACGGTGCGAAGGCTTCAGCAATGTCCGTATCCTCCTCAATCTCAATAATCTTGCCGTCTACAGCAATTGGCAGTTTTGGAAATGCACTACCACAACATAAAATCGTAAGTAACTGGGCTCAAAGACACTCGCATCGGCAACAGATGCAGCAACTTACCGGAGCAGCGTCTGCAGTGCGAAGGCAGCACTGAAGCATTGCTGGGCCAGAATGCTGTCCTCACTCTTGTGACCGTTCACCTCTAAGAAGTGTTGTACTACCTGCTTGGCTGCGATTGGGTTCTCCAGCTGCAACTCGATAAATCGAGCGAACTCGTGCACCACAGCTTCGCGCTCATGCATCCATTGCACCTTCTGCACGGCAAACACTCGGTTCTCCACGTCGAACGTGCCAATAACCTGTGGCTCCATGTAATCTTCTTCCTCTTCCTCGTCGTCGGTGCCCCCTTCGCTCTCCTGCGTCGTGCGAAGCTTAGCGTCATTTGGCTTCTGGCTGCGCACAAGCGCCAATAGCGTTTGACGCTGCTCCTCAGTTTTACACAGCGACAAAATCAGGTCCAGTCCATACTCGACGCCCTTGGGAAGCACTTGAGGGTGCAACGCGGGCGCTAGAGCCGTCACGACGCTCTGAAGCTGCTGCACGGCGGTCAGCGGGTCACTTGCCATTGTAGATGAGCAAATAATGGTTGGCTTTCACTGTTTTGGTGCGACTCTAATTATAGTCCCAATAGCCACAAATTGGTACATGTACCTGATGTTTGTATGCTGCTCTAATATTTTTTTATCCTTTGGGCAATAATGATGGCGGCGGCGCTGCCCGTAGAGGGCTCGGAAGCGGTGGACGTACAGCTGATTCGGCGGCGAATGCAGCAAGGTGTGCCTCCTCAAGACGTCCAGGAGTATCTATGGCGTGTTAGACTTGAAGCAGAGGGAATTCCAGACGTTGTGGTGGCTCCAGACGTCGATCCACGACAGTTCGATGCCCAACAGACGAGTAACATGCCAAAGCTTCAGACCTTCGGCCTCGAGGAAACAGATCCGCAACGAGTACCAGACTGCAAGTGGAAAAGAGAATTACTGGCAGATTTTGCCGAGTTACGGCAGCTAATCACTCGGTGGGAAGCCATCGGAGCGCCTAAAGCTGAGACCGTAAGAAGTGGCGACGTCCCCGTTGAGATATTGCGTACGAACGTGCCCAGAATGAGAGATGAGGAAGGATGGATCGGTTTCTTCTTTGGTAGACCAGGGGCAGAGTTGTCAGCTACTCCACCGCACTTGCGACTATTGTTGCAGTTTGATCAGGTGCTGACAAGGAAGCTGCTGGACTATCATGCGGCTTGGCTCAGCGACGAGATGACACCACTCTCACGGGCGCGAGCAGTTTGGATATATGCGTTGCTGGCTCGGCTGGATAAACCAGTTCATGCTAGTGTGGCTGCAACGATTCGACAAATTCTACGACGCTGTTGGACATTGAGGTGTGAGCTGGAAAAACCGTCGGAGATGCAGCTCAAGTCACTAAACATTCTTATCGTCATTGCCGGGGATTTCTTTGGTCAGCTGCATGACTTGGAGTGAACGAAGAGCTAGTAACTACGGTCAAACAGAAGTTGTGTTGAGGGCGGGTCGGTACTTCGAAACTTCTGTACGCGTGTCAAGTAGCAAGCTGCTAACGTAATTATACCTCATGTTGGTTACAAGTAAATCAGACTCTAACTGTTGCTTAGACACTACATGCAATAGTATCCTTTTGGGAACCAGAGCATACTCCCGGAGAGCTGGTAAATGATGTTTTTGTCAGACTTCCTGTCATACCGGCCACATGCAGACATCCGGGCCGATTGCAGCTCAACGCCTGGCAGGAGTATGATAAACTTATGGTTCGAGCATAGTCACGCATGTTTTTTTAAGAAAACGTTTGCATCTAGAAGCAGGAGGACCTTCCCGATTTTTTTATTTCACACGGCAGTCGATTATTTCGATGGGAACATTGCTGCCAGGCATCACCAGCACACGCGAGCTATCTATCTCTGCACGCCCTGGTTCTCGTCCTTGGCGAACAGGTCGTCGAACTGGCGAGACTGGTTGATCGGGTTACGCTTCAGATTTGCCATGCGGAAGCGGAATTGCCGCCATGCAGACCCGCGGTCCTCGCGCGGCTCTAGAGTGTGGTGTAGCGAAGTGAAACGCTCGTCCTTGTTCACGTACACGTCGGGGTTCAGGAATAGGTAGCGAAGCGACGAGCCCGTGGCGGCTACGGCTGCGAAGGTGGCACAGAAGACGACCGGAAAGGTACCCTTGTCGGTAGTCCAGAGGTTGAGTAGCTTGTAGCCTTGGCGCTTGACAATTTGGACCATGGTGACTGTGGTGCGGTGTGGAGGTAGAGCTCAAGTGTAGCTGAGCTGGGCCTAGAGGCTGTGGTGGTGACGGATCTCTTGAAGCGATCGGTCGAGGTGAAGCTGTAGAATGAGTCGAGCAGCGGGTTTGCTACCTCAGACGTGAAGGTGGTGCTTGTTATATTGGCATAGGGCAACTTGACAGGGAGGTAGACTTGAATTGCTGTCGCAAGCTAACACTGTGTAGATTCGCATAGACACGAATAGGACACCACACTGTGGTGTCTTATTCGTGTCCCACAGATACGCGCCGAGTTGGATACTTATACCCAGGCCTCTTAAAACTAGGCTTTGTGTTGCGAGAAAATACTGACTACCTAAACGAAGTTTTGACAGCCGCCTAGTTGAAACCGGAAAGTTCCATACAAACCACAAGTGTAAAAGCTAACCACCGCCATGCTGGCAAGGAAAAATAAAGTGCTTTAACTTTGTTGGTGGAGCAGGATTTTGCTAGCGACGAGCTTCTTTACCTGCTCGAGGCGTCGAGAACGGACATGTAGAAGTTCATCGTGGTGAGCGGTATTATTAAAACCGGAAGCATGGCTAGAGCTCGGTGGCAGTCTAATAGCAAAACAATTCTGCGCTCTAAGACTACTCACATTTCAATTTTCTCTATCCGCGACAACCAGCTCCCAGTCCATTTGTTTTCAATCCTGTCAAGAGTCATGTTGCCAGTGACCGTCTTGTCAATGGGAGCGTTGGCGTTATCAGCGCAGTTCCTCCACCCCGTGGTGGCTATGATCGAAGATGCCCAGCAGATTTACTCCGAGTGGAAGCAGTCAAGTTATGTACGGTCAGGCCATACAGGTTGTCAACACAATCGGAGGCACAGCGGCCGGATCCTTCACTTCATCGTCCAAGGTCGGTGCTTCTGGCAGTGCAAGCTCTTTTAATGATGTTAGCGTGGGCTCACTGGAATCCAACGAGACGATTACATTCCCACCATCTTCCAGTTCGGTGGGATCCGCGGGTTCCTCCACTACTGTCACTACTATCACTGAGTCAGAAGAGCAACAGCGCTTCGATCAAGCCTTGGCTGACATTGCGGAGCTTCAAAAGCTGCACCCTCATGCCACTTTCTCAATCAACTCACCTTTCGCACTTCTGACCTCGGACGAGTTCCTATCCTACGTTAACCGCTTCGGTATCGACCCTGACTCGAACCCCGTCAAGAACAGCACAAGCTCAACGACTGGGATGTTCACTATGGACGCAGAAGACTCTGGTACCACGACGCCTTCCAGTATTGGCAGTGACATCATGACCTCAGCGGCAGCTGCAGGTGAGACGGTAGATTGGCAAGAGGCTGGATGTGTTACGGCTGTCAAAGACCAGGGAGAGTGCGGTGCCTGTTGGGCGTTCTCAGCTACTGCAGCGATGGAGTCTGGCTACTGTGTGGCAACCGGCTCGCTTCCCAGCTTATCCGACCAACAGCTCATTAGTTGTCACACTGAAGATGGAAACAGAGGCTGCGGTGGTGGCTACGCTGCGTACTCCCTGGACTGGATCGCTAACGAACGCAGAGGCAAAATGTGCACGCTTGACACGTATCCGTTTACCTCAGAGAACGGCAACGTGGCAGGTTGTTCGATGAATTCCTGCACGGAGTTTAACGTCGGTGTGACCGGTTACGAATCGGTTCGTGAAGATCCTGGCGCCATTGAGGATGCCGTGCGCAAACAACCCGTGTCCATCTTCCTGTACAGCGGTTCGACTGCTTTCCAGTACTACTCAGGTGGCGTGCTTACGGGCGCTAACTGCGATAAGACCGGGTCACACTCGGGACTGGCAGTGGGTTTCGGTGAGACGGAAGATAACATTCTGTATTGGCGCATTAAGAACCAGTGGGGTACTTCTTGGGGTGAGGATGGCTACGTTCGTGTCCAGCGGCGCTTCTCCGGAGACAGCGAAGGTGCATGCGGTGTAGAGCTATACGCGACTTGGCCCACCTTTGACGTGTCGGCAACCCCTACGTCCTCTCCGACACCCACCACATCTGCTCCTTCCGGTACAGCGGCCACTCCCTCCGTCACAACGGCAACGCCCCCAATCACGACAATGGCGCCTTCGACCAACCCGGTCACAGACACACCTTCTGCAACGAACGCCGTGGTGGATCAAGCTGCCAGCGCAAGTGCCGCTTCGGGATCTGACTCGACTATCACGAAGGTTGGCGTTGACCAAATGACCAGTGCCACATCAGGCTCGACTGCGCACTATGAGACGGTGAAGACAGACCCTGTCGGTGGCTCAATCGCTTCGACGGCGACACCTGCAGCGACCGCGATCGTCTAAAACGATAGTGTTGCTGATGATGCGTCCTACACCGCACCAAGCACGGGCAACCGGGACTGTGCTTCGTGAGCCGTTGATACGGACGAGCCATGTCTAATGTAACATGCTAGCATATTCTGACACTTAGCAAGCATTTAGCTGCAAGACGGTTAAAGAGCACTACAAATTGTCGATGTTGTATTGATAATACCGGAAAGCAATTCGTGGTGAAGGAGCACTTTGTTAAATCGTCATTATGGCAGACCCGGTCAGTGGTAATGTACCATGAATACTTGGCGCGCTTAATATTTCCCCACGTTAACATGTGCTTTGTTGGAGCAAGATCCATAAGAGCGTTTATCTTTCCGATTAGCAAGCAAGCAGGCGAAGCTACATGTATTATGCTATCAGCGCAGCTCAGCTGCTCTGCAGTTGCAGTCAGCCGTCACGGCCCGTGACCTCACGGGACAATGCAGAACGGTTTTCTGCTCGACAATAACGGCGTTGTGGCAAGTCACAAAAAGCCACAGACCACTTCAAGATCAGAGGGCCAATCAAATGTGCGTTGATGTGCTCAGAATTTAGTCCTGGTGTTTGTATCCTGGTGGTTTAGTCGCGGCAACTGCGGGGCCACTCACGCTCCAAAACAAAAGAGCTGACCTCAAGTTATTAGGACGCACTGTGCCGCACAAGACGCCACTCGTTTGCCAAGCGCCGAAGCAGTTCCTACGATCGTAGCATGCCACCCTGCCATACGGGAGCCATTTGCTTTCTGATGTGCGAAAGACCGACGAAGTGGGACTTCGTTTGTGGACGACACTGTCGAAACATTTAAATTGCAAATATAGCCCACTAAGAAATTTAGCCGTCCAATCTGACAGTTGAGTTCGTGTCCATCATCCAATCAGTGTCCGCAAATCAGAAAATATCTCAAATTCTAGCCGAAATACTCAATCTACCTTTTAGTCTGACTCTTCCAGGGCTAGGCACCGCTCCTCTCTCTCAACCAACACAACCAAACGGACCCGGCCGTCGCTTCAGGCACCACAGACATGACGGCGGGGCTGGCGGTGCTCGTTGCGCTGAGCGTGTTGCTCTTTGTAGGCGCCATCGTCATGCTGCTCTTCTTCTGTAGGCGTATCCAGGTCCAGCGCGAACGCGAGTCGCTTGTGTTTATTCAGGAGTCGACCGACGTTTATCGAGAAGAACTGAACGATAGCTTCATGGAACAGGCACTATGGCGCTGCGGCGTGTGCAAATTCCTTAACCACCCGGAGCGCAAACTTTGCGACTTGTGTCAGACGCTTAGAGGCGCGGAGAGAGACGTAGCAGGCAACAAAAAGCACTCTCGCAGCAGCTTTTCAAGAGGGAGTTTAAGCTCGAGTTCAACGCAGAGAATGGGACGAATCGGCGAGACGGAAGCCTTCTCATCCTCACAGGCCGATGACGCCATCGGCGGGTCGCTCAGACGACCGAGCTTTGAGTTCTCGAGGAAACCAAAATCCTCGAATAAAATGAGCAAGTTACAACTAGCTGCTAGTCGAAGACAGCAGTGGAAAAGAATGCCGACTACGGATGGTTTGCATCGGTGGGTTAGACAACAGTCCGCTAGGAGACAGTCGAGAGCAGGCCAACGAGACTCGATGGAGAGCGATCCAGGAGGAAGAATGTCGCTCAACAGGTACTTAGACGCCACGGAAAGAGACAGCAACTTGTCAATTGGATACATTCGAGTAAGAGATTCACTGGGGAGACTCGTACTGAACGAGAGCGACGTAGTAGCAACGGATTTCCACTACCGGATTAATATTCTCGACGGTACAGGTAGCTCCGAGTTGATCATGAACCTCGAGGGGGTACACAATTTGCCCTTCCCGGATAAAATTCGCTGGTTTTCGACGGAAATCCATCGACTGTGGCTTCCGTGGGAATCAGGCCACGCAGAGTTGGTAGTGCGAAGGGATCACTTATTGCAGGACTCTTTCGAACTCGTGGCAGCTATGAAGCCATATCAGTTAAGACAGAGATGGCGTGTGGTGTTTGATGGAGAGCCGGCTTTGGATGCAGGTGGCGTCATGCGCGAGTGGTTCACTCTTCTGTTTGCTGAGCTTTTCGACCCATCTTTCGGACTATTTGTGAGTACAGTGGGAGACGAGAGAAGTTACTGGATCAATGCCAGCTCGGACTTGCTACTTGGTGAAGAAGAGCATTTGGCGTACTTTGAGTTTGCTGGACGACTGGTGGGCAAGGCGATTCTGGAAGAACATTTGATGCCTGTTCATCTCGCACTGCCGTTCCTGAAACATATTCTGGGTGTGCCGATCTCTTTCTCGGACTTACAATTCCTTGACGACGAGATCTATAACAGCGCGTTGATGGTGAAAAAGATCGACGATATCGAACCGCTGTGTCTGGATTTTACAGCTACTCGTATTGTGGACGGCAAGCCAGAGATCGTGGAGCTCGTTGAAGGAGGCGCCGATATTGACGTGACGCGAGAGAATCGCTCGCGGTACTTGGATGCTTTGTTCAAGTACCATGTTCTTGGCAGTGTGAGTGATCAACTGCTGTCATTTCTTACTGCACTGTACGATGTCGTGCCCGAGGGATTGCTTAAGCTGTTTGACTACCAAGAACTCGAGCTGCTAATGTGTGGCGTGCCGTCTATTGACGTGGAGGACTGGAAAAAACACACGGATTTCAAGTTTTTTACGCATAATTTTCCCACGGAGCTCGAGCTTAACAACATCGAGTGGTTCTGGGAAGTTGTGGAGGATATGAGGAATGAGGATCGTGTGCGTTTACTGCAGTTCGCGACGGGCACAAGTCGAGTCCCGGCTCAAGGTTTCAAGGGGTTGATTAGCAGCGACGGTCGTGTACGGCGCTTCAACGTTGCCTTCGCTGGTGCGAACCAGTCGTTCCTGTTCCCGAAAGCACACACGTGTTTTAATCGTCTAGATCTGCCCATCTACAACTCGAAGGAAGTTCTAGCGCAGTACGTCAACCTGATCGTGCAGATGGACATCACGGGCTTCACCATCGAGTAAGTGGCAAACGCATTGCTGGCCGAAATGTATTTATTTAGCGGGAAAAGGACAAGCAAGCGTTGTGGACCACTTTGTGATTTTCTACCGGTTGTAGAACAGAAGACCATTAAACGTTGTAAATTTGTGAAATGTGTGTCGGCTGAAGAGCACAATAATTATTTTCAGCGAATCCCGGCTGCCACAGCCTAAATTGATTTGCATTCGAGAACTTTCGCAGCCACGCTTTCTATTTAGTTTCAGTCTCAATATTACAACTGCTAACTCACTGCCAGCTCTGCACCTTACGACATGGAAGTGAACGCGCCGTTAAGCTTGCCCCCTGCACAACAAAATGATCAGGAGAACCTCACAGTGGGTGGGTCTTTCGTACAGCCCGCTGGTCCAGCTCGAAAGAACTTTACCAGCCGATGATCTGATTTTACTGCGCGCTGTCAACACGATCAAGCCGTGGGAATCCGCGAAAGGCACAGCGAACGGTATAATGAAAAGCTTTGACAAGATTGCAGACATCTGCAATGAAACGGCTGGTTTCGTGCGAGACAAGCAAGGCCCAGCGCTGCGTACGCGCTTTGATAAGCTTATTCGTCAGCATCGCGACGCACAAGTAGTTTCAAGGAGGTCGTCTGGAACGACGGAAGAGTACAACGAGAGAGACGTGCTCTTGCAAGACACTGTCACCCGTATGGACGACTGGAAGGAGCGTCAAGATAGCAAAAAGCAGCTCCAGCGTGCCAAAGATAATGGCATTGAGGCGTCGGGTGTCTTAATGCGTCGATTGGCAATGGGAGAGCTGGTGGAAGAGCTGCAATCCGACACAAATTCCAACAGTGATGAAGGCAACGAGGGACAAGACGAAGGTGCAAATGCAGGCACTTCCTTATGTGGTAGTCTGAAGCGTGGGAACACGGCTAGCAGCGGTCGCGCTACCAAAGTGGGAAAGATAGAGCGAGTAGCAGCCGTGACTGATGCTATCGCGATGGCAATCACCGAGATAAATAAGGGGAACCCTGAGAAGTATGTGTTTCTTAATAGTCGCTTACAATTCGAGAAGGACAAGGCCAAAAGAATGAGAGAGCACGAGCTAAAACTGGAACAGCAGCGTCAAGAAGCTGAGCGCGCACGTGATGAGCGTATGCAAGCTGCTGAACGTGACCGCGAGAAGTTTATGTTGAAGCTACTGGAAATAGCTCTCGGACGTGCAAAAGACAAACAGTAACGGATTATAAACAAACGACACGTTTTGTCATTCTTAATTTGCGTTAAGGTAGCTGTCTACTGATGGTGGAAGTAAATTAAAGTATATAGATATCTGGTTTCCTGTTGGTTGAAGACATGCATGAAGGTTAGATAGTAGCACTCCAACAACGAAAAGCTTTCCAACCGCGGTCTGTCGGGTTCGCAGCTTTTTATCCTAATTCAGGAATGACCATAGCATCTTGACACGTCCGAATCCCCACTCTACGGCCTCGCGAACACTGCTCATACGCGAATTGAAAAGTTTCATAGCTCCATTTGATCCAGGATTTTCGAATGGACAGCAAACGTACTGACTGCAGTCATACGCCGGATCTCCGTAAATTACTTTTCCATTGAAAAGCATGGATTCATCATTTTTAAAGGCAGCCAAAATACCACTCATGCTTAACATCGTCGAATCATGCCGCCTGCCTTCCACGGGACCGAATATGCTGACAATTATTTCATCTGGAGCTGTAGCTGCTTGCCAGTTGAAGCAGTGGCGTCTCGGATGACCATTATACAGGGATCTTTGTAGGTTCTCGTATGGTGACGTCGGATTTCTAAGAGCGCTTGGTCTGGATACATACTCCTTAGTTCCATCCACAAAACCCTAGCAACGTGCTAACGGGGAGCCCTTGGCTCTAATTGCTTCGCAATACCTCTCAATACGGGCTGCAACAATACCATGGTTGAAATACAGGAGAGCCTTGTATTTGTTGTACAACGTATCCGCTAAGTGGCGACAGACGCGCCTGTACGCCCCAGGTGATCTGCCGAACTCATTAGCAGCATCGATGGCTCCTTCAGCCTTCTGCACAGCATAGCAAGCGCTTCAACGGTCGGAACAGCGTCACGTTTTGGGGTAATAATGACTGGTTTCGGTAAATACATTTTGGTCGCTAGCAATCGTAGCTGAGGCATCGTAAAATTAAAGCGTGTCCGTGCCGTCACGTCGTCCATGGAGGGGTCGAAGTGGTTGCTTGTGTTGATCCGAGGAGGTGGGTCTCGAAGACGGAAGCAATGACTGGCGATGAGGAAGTGCATTATGCGCAGGAAGCGCTTCCGATTACTTCGTGCAGCAAGCAACAAACAGCTAATGATGACAAGTTCTTGCTCCGCTGTGAGCTTCGGTGCTATTGACGAGGTTGGATGGTGCTAGCTGTGAAGACGAAAGTGAGCTCAAATCCGAGTTGAGCAAACCGGCCAGTTAGCTTTAACGCAATTCTGTTTGAGTATCGTGTTTGAGAGGCTCACCCTAGAAACTCAAAAGAAGACTGAAACTCAACAAAAAACAGGTTGCGAAAGGTCTCTAATACTTCCTCTGTCCGAAAATATAAGCGGTGCTGCGGGGATTGACCAATATTAAGCTCAAATTTGACCTTTTCTGCTTGCTTACTGGCTACAATTGACAAGTCGAGCCTGACAAGTCGATTGGTGGTTCTCGTGCGAGTTTTCGTTGAGCAGAGCCAAAGTTATAACGGTAAACGCACAGCCGTCAAACCCCATTTCGGCTTTGACTCTTCGCCACTCCTTGTGATGGGGTCTGACGCTACTCCTGTGGCAAAGCCACGAAAGAATCTCACCCCGCCCGAGCGTGCTGAGGTTATCGCTTTCCTCCTGCGGGTCAGCATTGAGCTACGCCCGTCTCCAGGCGCGATCGGCTCCATCGCGACTAAGTATGGATGTAGTACTGACCAGATTTCGCGATTGTGGCGCCGGACTACCAAGGACATCAAAGCAGGAGAGCCGATCAACTACAACAGCGGCAGGAAGGGAAAGAGTGGCCGCAAGACGCATTTAACGCCGGAGTTCCGCCACGCCCTCAACGACGCCATCGAACTTATCCCGCTAGAAGACAGGCCAGATATTCGTACTTTGGCGAATACACTCGGTATTCCAAAGTCTACGCTGCATGACTACTTTCTCGCTGGAGTATTTTGTTGCCACACAGCTCGCGCCAAGCCGATGCTTACTGACAAGCAGCGTATCGATCGAGTCAAATTTGCTGCTAGTTTTGTGCAGCGTGGTCCCGGTGTCTGTATTCGATTCGACAGTATGATGGATTACGTACATTTAGACGAGAAGTGGTTCTACTTGAAGAAGGACAAGCAACGGTTCTATCTTGGAGAGCACGAAGAGGAGCCCTACATCTCCGTGAAGAACAAGAACTACATGATCAAAGTGATGTTCCTTGCGGCAGTGGCTCGCCCGCGATGGTCTGCGAAGAATCATTGTATTTGGGATGGAAAGATCGGTGTGTGGCCGTTTGCTGTCTATGAGCCTGCAGAGCGATCCAGCAAGAATCGAGCGGCTGGGACTTTGGAGCTAAAGACATACACTGTCGATCGCGACATTTATCGACAAGCGCTTTGCCGGATGGTCATACCGCGCATCAAAGCGGTATGGCCATCAGGCAAGCGGGTCGTGCTGCAACAGGATAACGCCAAACCGCACGTCACGGTTGATGACCCCGAAGTGCACTCTGCGTGCTCAGCTGGTGGCTGGGATATGAAGCTTACCGCGCAACCAGCCAATTCACTGGATTTCAATGCGAATGATCTCGGGTTCTTTGCTTCACTGCAGTCGTTGCAGCACAAAATAAAAGCTAAAAGTATCGAGGATCTAGTCAACAACGTGGACGACGCTTTCGCTAAACTCCACTACACTGCTCTCGACAAAGTTTTTCTGACGCTGCAGTCAGTACTGCAGGAGACAATGCATATCGACGGATGCAACAAGTACACAATCCCTCACCTCGCGAAGGACACGCTACGAACGAGCACTGGTTTGCTACCACATTCATTGACATGTAGTGATCGAGTGTACGATAAGGCCAGACGTTTCTTAAGTTCGGTTGGGCAAAAATAAAAAGTCAAAACCGTACTTAGGCTTATATTTTCGGACACGCGCAGTAATAGACACCAGCTTATACTTTCGGACAGAGGAAGTATAGATTAGCAGTGTACACTCATTTTTCATTCCGCCAATTGTTGGAATTTCTAAAATGCCGAAGCGTTCCCAGTCCTCCTCACAAGACACTGACCCTAGGAAGCGCGCGAAGGCGTCACTTATACCGGATCAGGAAGATTTCTCGCTGGATCGTGTGGTGAACAACGTCAAGAAGGTTGCTGTCGAGCACGCTCATCTGCCAGAGACCGTCGTCTCGAAGCTCTTCGAGCAGGACGCGACAGTCTTGTATCTAACAAGCGACCGTAAGAGTTGGGTTTATCATGTGCCACGCTGGTACTGGTATGTCTTTAAGCACGCCACGTCAGAGGATTTTCCCTTAGCAGGTGAAGACGCAGATGAGGCGCCACGCACCTGGCCATCAATGTTTAAGCGAGCGTGGGAGGCGCACCCGAAGGAGCATGACACCATAATGATGTTCGGCAAACCGACGATGCTCCCGCGATTTCAGCAGCTTTGTGGCGAAATGGGGAGTTACCGCTACTCTGGCAAGACATTTGAAGCGCAGCAGAAGTTTCCGCCGGGTCTAAGGCACGCTGTGCAGCAAATGCAGCGGTTTGTGGAAGACCCGAGTACACAACACACGCGACTCACAGGTGGACTCGTGAACTGGTACGAGAATGGAGATCACTACATCGGGCCACACGCAGATGACGAGAAGGATATGATGGCGTGTTCTCCGATCATTGCACTGTCTTTAGGAGCAGCGCGACGCTTCGTTTTCACAAAAAAGACTTCGAAAAGTGCGCCTCAAGGTGATGAAGCTGTGGCACGGATGGAGCTGCAGATGGAAGACGGAGACTTGATGATCATGGGCGGTACGACGCAGAGAACCCACAAACACGCAGTACCCAAAATGGCGCGATGTCGAGAGCCAAGGATCAGTGTCACCTTGCGCTGCTTTCTTTAGAAAAATACAGAGTTTACACCTGATAAACAAACATTTTCATGGTTAATTTGCACAGAATTTAATCATGTTTTTTACTAGTAACACCTCGCAAATGGAAGCGAAAAACAGCGTTGGTGAGCTGTGGCGCCATGCGTCCAAAGCAATGCGACTGGGACAACGCCCACGATATTTTACGCCAGCGAGTCAAGACTGCCTCTAGATTTCCCCGTAGCTTTTCACTCTCTGGCCGAGCAAGCACATGGTCGTACACCAAAAACTGTTGCATGCTCTCCTTGGCTTCATCTGAATGGCGGAATTGATCCCATATTGCCGTAGCATCTGTGCCCACCGCGTCTTCGATCACATGGGGTCCGCCGGGATGCAGGTCGAGGAAGTCCGTGACATCGTATACCTGACCTTCAATAGCCACACACTTGCGGTTGTCTGTAATACCCAGTAACCTCGTAAGCTCTACAGCTCGTGATAAGTGGTGTTGGAAGTAAAATTGCCGCCAACTCTCAATGGAGAAGACCTGAGCGAACCTGTCCCCAGGTTCGTGGAAGTCTCTTTGAAATACGCGTCTCCAGAGTGTCTCGACGGTGTCTCCTATATTGAGCTCCCAAGCTTTGCATACCATGGGGCACGTGGCTAAATCTTTTGGAGACAAGAACAGCAGCAGCTCGTGTAGGATGTCGTGCGGCAAATTGGTCACAGGCGTACCGGAAGTCTTGGAGACCCCGTTCTTGAGGCTATTCCTCTGGTTAAGCACTAATCTGGCGATCAGCTTCTGTTCGGCCTCGCTATCTGCCTTTTTGTCCTGCTGTTTCTTGTGCTGAAGCAGCCCGAAGAGTCCAAGGAAAAGCAAAAAGCCAGTGATCTCGGACGACGTGAAACGACGCGAGTCTTCGCCTTTGCGATAACCAGAAACCAGCGGAGACGCAGTAGAAGGTGGTGACGGAGTGAGCACTACAGCTGGACGAGTGAAGAGCTGGTATAAGACGCTGATGACGGCAGTGATCACGATGATCTGAGCAACGCGGTTGCCTGTTGACACCGCTGCGCTCGACATGATTAAAGAAAGTTAAAAAGTGACCAGTTTATTGGATGTTGACTCAATTTTGTCGCAAATTGACCCAAAACGATTCGTAATAGGTCCAATTGCAGTTGAAGCTGTTTAAATGCACCTTATTCGATGGCGTGAATAGCATAGTGTTGGTCCTCCCACTTAAAGTCGCCAACCACCAGGGATCTAACGTCCTGCTCTGCGTCGATGTCGTCGGGTAGGTTGTGGACATCGATGTGCTTGCCAAGCTCCACTGCGAGTTGAGAGCGCACGAGTGCGACACCCTCTGGTGTACCCGATGCAATGTGCTTGGTCTGCACGTCGTGATAGAGTCTCCCCGTTGAGAGCGAGATCCGCAGCGTTCCGGTAAGAAGGGCATCATAAGCTCACCTCCACCAAATATGAGCGTCCATTTGCCACTGCTTTCATCCCGACGCAGGTCCTCGTGCACGAATGCACGATCAGCGCACTTAATGAAGTTCATCTCCTTGCCGCATGGAGAACGAAAAGGGTATTCCAAGAATTCCTCCTCTTCTTTAATCTTACACTGCACAATGCCATTCGGACGAACCTGGGAAAAGAAAAAGCGCAGGAACTTGGTACTTTTAAGTGACGTCGCGATGTTCTTTGGACGCGTGTCTTCTAGGAACAGACGGCCCTTTTCAATGCGACCAGCACAAGTTTAGTTACATCATGATAGTATTCTTCACTGCAGTGTTCGTACTCACCTGCAAATCGATGTAATAAAAGTAGCGTCGCTCATGGGCTTGCCGGTCGTAAAATTCTTCACTATATTTAACAAGAAAGATCAGCGTAAAGCAGACGACAACTCCGGACTGCATACCGCACCTTTTGATGTCTTTTAGCTGCTTGAGTTCCAGATATTTATCCTCATCAGCCGTGCAGAACCCGCGTAGCCCTGTGGGCGCACGCTGCCACTGCCGTAAGTACGAGCGAAGCGCTATCATCCAAGAACGAAGATGCCCAAGTTGATACCCTCGAAAAAGTGCCTTTTAGTGACGTCGAAACGACGCTTCAACTTTTACGCAAATGAAGGCAAATGGGTCACTAGGTAGCAAGGACTGGGACTCCATCACGCCGTCCGCCTCCTATAATAGTTGCAATTATATCCGCAAACTGGAAGGAGGCAAAGGCTATGCGCTAAGATCTTCGCGAGGCCAGGGCACGGGGGATTTCCGTCGACGAGGGAACTCGGAGGGCCCGACGAGTCGCGTGTATTCGTTAGCGACACCTTTGGTTGCTAAGCCACCTCCAAAGCCCCAGAAGGACACGAAGATCGTCTCTGAAAAATGTGTAGTAATGGCCAAACGCACTCAAGAAATGCTTTTCGATGCCCACGAACTCGATGACGAGATGCAGGACATGACGCTGTGGGCACACGCGCATGTCGTGCCGCTGAAGTGGCGACGTCAGGTGCTGACCCACTTGGAGCCTATCTATTGCCAGATGACATTCTGCCGCGAGGAACTGGTGCGAGGCTGGAAGCTGTTGCATCCGCCGTTCTATCAGCCCAATATCGACTCGTTCGACCGCCGACTTCAGTTCTTCGAGCGATCAGTGCAGCTACTAACATCGGCAATTGAGGAATGCAAAACGAAGTTGTTGAGAGCCGAAGCCCTCGCGGCGTGTAGATACATTCAGCTCTGGACGCGTAAGCTGCTTGCAAAGGTACGATCAGTGTTGCTTTATAAGTGTGTAGTACTTTGCAACACGACTGACCACCGTCGTTGCTGACGACAGCGAGGGTTCTACACGAAGGTGATCAAACTGTCATATCACCACCGAGGCATTGTATCAGGAATGTTTGACTCGATCACGGGCACCTCCAAACTTACAGCTCATCGAACTGACCAGAGCATCACTCTCGAATACCCACGCTCTGACAAAATTTGGGACAGCTTCAGCTAGCTAAAGGTCTAACCACCATCAGGTGTATTAGGAAACACTCAACCAAACACAGGTTACAAAACCGCAATATATACTATTCGTTGTCTTTCTTGTAATCAACCTACTAACTCCGTGGCTGACCAATGACAAAATGAACTCAGTGGTGAGATCTTTTGTGCCGTTTATCTCTTTACGGCCTTGTTCTCGTCCTTAGCGAACAGGTCGTCGAACTGGCGAGACTGGTTGATCGGATTACGCGACAGATTTGCCATGCGGAAGCGGAATTGCCGCCATGCAGACCCGCGGTCCTCGCGCGGCTCTAGAGTGTGGTGTAGCGAAGTGAAACGCTCGTCCTTGTTCACGTACACGTCGGGGTTCAGGAAGAGGTAGCGAAGCGACGCAGCCCCCGCGCCTACGGCCGCAAAGGTGGCACAGAAGACGACTGGGAAGGTACCCTTGTCCGTGGTCCAGAGGTTGAGTAGCTTGTAGCCTCGGCGCTTGACAATTTGGACCATTTTGTAGAGAAAACCTTGTGCGTTCACTCGATTGAAAAATGAAGAATGGAGAACGTGTAGATCCACTGCAGAGCCACACATACTCGTGGCGTAGACACGAGCACTGTGCACTGCGTAGTGTGCCAGACACGCGCCGTGGAGGGCTGCAACATGCAAGGCATTCTGGGGATGCTGCCTAAGTTCGTACCTTTAAGTCACTATAAACGATGAATTGGAGGTACAAAAACTTCTTTGGTGATGTGTGCGCATGCCGTTGAGGTTCCTATCACCAGGGAATTGAAATTAAGTAATATTGATGCACCTCTGCGTATCTGGCCGTCGGCGACAAAGACACTTCAACCCTGTCATATTTGATGCGTACTGTAGAGGTGGAGCATCTTTTGTACCAGTCTACCGGTATACTTCGAAGCACAGTACACGATCCATAGGGTATTTCTTGATTGTTTTGAAGACAAGTACGAAGATCGTTTGACTTCGGGCTCTTGCTGCACGAACACCTACACCTTTGAAATCGCATACTTGTACATGAATTCTGTTTGCAACACGAGTTCTTGGCCTTGAATCTTTAGGTTAGAATGCGCCAGTAGCGGCTCATTCAATTAGCAAAGAAGAAAAATCAGGAGAACACACTACGACTGCATGACAGGGGGACAGGTTGTTGCTAACACCAGAATTTCTGACAGTTATAAAGCAAATACCGGTACCCTTGTTCTTTTTTTTTTTTACAGATCTCGACACTTGAGAGGCTCGGCAGAGTTTAATGTGTCAGAGATGCAGTATCCATAGTACGCATATAGTAACTTAACAAATCGAGCTATTGCCAATTACATTCTAATACTACGTAGAATAAAACACACTTGAGAATAACATGTATATAGCTGGGAGCCCACAAGGTTTATCCCTGCTAATGCACACTTCGCTCTCGTTAGCATGTAATATATCCTTCCCAGCTCACACTTTCAATCAATCTGTCGGACAATTAATAGTGCTTACATATCAAGAAAGCGCCTGCAAGAAATGCAAAAAGAGAATGGGTGTCTGCCTAATATTTGTTTGCATTAAAATACGGGGGTAGTAGCATGTAAATTACAAATGTCGTGTCCAAATGCTCGATTTTCGCCCACCCCGTCATTTAAGTTTACATCCGGGTTTACTTCGCTTGGAAACGAGTACAACAGGATCACAACATTCATGAGCGCGCTCACGCTGGAGATCTGAGCAAGTAGCACTGCGAACACATGCTATTGCAGCTGAAAATTATAACACTTTGAAGTAAATGCTGCTATTTATAAAACACTGGTGTTAGTTCTTATAATTGGGACCTAAAAAAGTTTTGGCTTTTCCAGCGGCTTGGTCCAATACCGGTATCACAATCCATATCTGGGTCATAGTTTTTAATCATCGGGACCTTAATATTTTTGGTGAGGCAAATCCGATGGTACGGCTCAGTACCGGTATAAGCAGGCCTCTCAAAACTAGGCAGTACTACCTAAAAACCTAGCAGATGCTCAACTAGGATTTTTCGTGCCTTATTTACTATACGAACTAGGGTGGTATTTAATGTTGATGATAGTATGGGATAGATGGTGAAATGTATGAAAAGCCTAGAATCTTCGAAGTTCACTTTGTGATGAGAGTTTCTGCTGCAATGGAGTTCGCGAGGGGAATTAGATCGAAGTATTGCTTTGACTGCAACTGACCTTCAAGTGCATAGTTGGTCAGCGATCCTCGGTGGGCAGTTTTGACACCTTTAAGTGAGCTGAAATCACCTTCCACGGTATGGGTACCGGGTGGAATCGAAGCCAGCCCCAGCGCAAACGAAACTAAACGTGAATACTCACCAGAACCGTTCACAATACGCCATGCTTCGACTACACCTTTGGTGTAAGACCTGTCGACATAAGCCTTGAAGTCCGGGTTGAGCTCGTACGTTTCACGCAACTTACGGACCTGCTTCCAAATGCAGCTGATCACCCCACTTCCGTATTGGACTCTCAGTCTTTTCTTGTAAGGCAAAATCAGCTGACCAAACTTGGTCATATCTTTCATTGCAACAAGGTCCAGTGAAATGAGAGAAGAAGGGAGCAATGAACAGGCGCTGGGCGGTTGTGAAACCACTTAAATGAGAGAATTGTAGAACAATGACAACACCCAGAGCTGTTTAAAGAGCTTTGGGGCTTCACGCAGGTATACAGACGCGGGTCCTCTACGATCCTTCCGATGTTTTTCTTGAGGCAAGATCCGTGCTGTTCCATCAGGTAGCTGCGTCGTCTCGTCTCGAATCAAAGTGGTGAGTTAGTAAAGGTTCCAACTTAAGCGACGGCCAGGGGAGAATCACTGAGCCATTACTACAGCTGCTTGGATACTGAGCCAATACTTCGTCTTTTCAGAAAGGTTGGCCATTCAGGATGAATTTGTTTGAATTAACATACAACTGTTGTCATGACGAGACTGTAAGAGCTAAGTCTCTGCAGCAAAGACAGCAGAGCGTTGAAGTTACCAGGTATACCAGGCACGGCATGTTACACGCATCTTCGCATGAACCATACTCAGCATGCTAATGATTCGGATTCATAGGTTCTTATCCACTAACCCACTCTCGACGCGCGGACGAGCGAATGGCTGGGTGACTCCTTTAACTTTTACCTGGTACATCTTCCAGCTGGACAGATCTACCTCACACTACACATACGTATCGCCCTTTAAGATGCAAAGTTTAGAGGCCCTACACGAGTTTTAAGTAATAATTTTCAAAATTGACGACTTGGGAGGGGTCACAATCTGGGCACTATTCTTCAGGTACTACTACAATTAATAATACCTGTATTGGTTGCCAATTAGTAGTACGTTTTTAAGCTCGTAATATTTTATTTAAAGTACTACTTGTTTTAAAGTACTAATAGTGAGTTGTACATGTAGTAGTTATAGCACTAGTAGTAGTTTTGAAAGTTGCATGTTTGGCATCTGGACTTATGACCTTCGAGTCCCGATGCAATGCAAACGCAGCAGTGTAATACGTAGTACTTCCTCTGGTCGGAAATGATCACGCGAAGTAAGATTGATAGGTCAATAGTGCTGTTACCCGCTAAGAACTTATTTTACGATTTATATAAAGTTATAAATTACATTAACTGTCGTTTATAGATCACATTAACTGTCATTTATGATGATGTTAAATTGAATAGCAGTGCACTGCCACGGTTTGAAGACTTAAGTAACGCGACAGCAGACTCATACAGCTCTTTGCTACATGACAAACTAACAGGAAGTTGTTTCGCCCTCCGGAGCTTGGCTTTCCCCAAGTGTGGTAGTTTGTACAGGTTGCCTCCTCCTTCTCGTAAAAGCTCCAGCATACATGCCTGTAAGGTCAAAAAAATATCATCTACCGTGTCAGTCTCCAGCTGCCGAAACGCGTCCACCACCGACGCTATGAGAGCGTCGATACCCTTTCTTGGTATTCGATACTGAATACTTTGCATGGAGGCGAACAGACCCAGGTCTAAACAGTTGAGGTCAGGCGAGTTGGGGGGCTGACATAGTAGCTTGATGTTCCATCCTCCTTCAGTTCCGGCCTTCATTACATCCGGGTCTGCTGGTGCTACGTGCGGCTTTGCATTGTCTTGTTGTACGAATATAATTTCATTCCGATCCTTCCTTGGCCAATTTGCTTTGATCGCTGGAAATACTTTTGTCAGAAGATAATCCTTGTACACTTCCCGACAGACCGTATCGATATTACGAGTGCAAATAGTTCCTTTGTCTCTATTCTTGCTTCTCCGTTTCGCCTCGTACTGTTCCGTGAAAGACCATATACATCCCAACGCTGCTTTCGGTGAGGATCGTACCTAAAATTAAAAATAAAATGTTAGAGGTTTTTGTGTTTCAAAAATATAATATTATAGAGAAATACCTTGGCCGTGCGAGTGCAGCTAAAAACATCGTCTTGGGAACGAATCGTTTACTCTTCCAGGCGCGTGCAGGTAGTTCTTCGCCGTCGAAAACGAGGTATGATCGTCTGTTGCGGTCTGCATAAAACCACTTCTCGACTACATGGACTAGGTTGTGCATTGGCTCAAGCTGCAGAGTAGATTCGTCGATAAACGACAACGCGTGCTCTACCCGCCGTATCTTGTTTTCATTCGTTAGCGACGGCTTGAAAAACGTGGTTCGTCGCGTTACCATCCCTTCATTCACTGCCTGTCTTACCAGATGCCTGGAGAGACCAGAGACCGCCGCCACACGTCTTTCAACCGCTCTGTCCTCGATAGGAACACTCTTCAGCTTGTCTCGTACTTCGTCTCGATTCTTCCGCTTTCTGCCGCTGTTCTTCTTAATCCGACTACGCCAATCACCCCCCACGACACCAGCCGTCACTGCAGAGCTGTACCGCTTCCAAATTAACCTCACGGTGTCCGGATGTCGGCCCATAAGAGCATTAACCTTAGCAAACGCTCCACGGGGTAATTCTCCGTTGTTGCTGATTTTTAGAAGCTCGTCAATGACGGCTTTGCGCTCATTATCGGTAAGGTTGGGCTTCGGCATATTTGTAGAGAAAGAAACAGCGTAGTGCAGGCGTGGCGGGTCGCACTCCAGGCGAGGCTTGAAACCTTGAGAGCGAAAAGTGAGATTGCGGAGGCTACAGAAGTTCGTTCGGCGCAAAACTGGTGGCTGTAGGAAGAGGAGATGCAGGGCTTTCGTTTAGTCCAATCAGACGCTGAATTGGGTACAGAGCTCCTGTACTCCACGACTAAGTAGCACGATCGTGTTCTTATCATCAGCCACATGTTCTCCATTCCCTTGTTCTTCCAAATCTGCTAGAGTTTTCTTAAGTTCAGTGTCGCAAAGCGTCGTCACGCTTGTGTATATGGTAGCACTTTTGAGAGGTTTGTAACTGAAGAACTTGGCAAGATGCCTCAAACGTTGCAATCAGTATAAGTGTTCTTGAACAGGTAAATTGAGATCTGATTGAGTTTAGCTACCCTTTTAACGCAATTGGTCAAATTGTCGACTTCGCGTGATCATTTCCGACCAGAGGAAGTACAAAGTTAGCGCTTCTCCACCGCTCAAAGAGGTTTCCTCTTTCGTAACTTAGCTAGGCAACTAAAGCGGATATATACTGGATCGATATGATCCCTACGCAATTACAAAGTAAGCACAGCATACGCAACACAAAAAAAACACATCGAGATCACATGGCCATTGCACTGCTCGTGTCCTTCACGGCAAAGCAGACAGACAAGCTGCGCTCGCCCTCTATTTGTCCTTCTTGTTCTCCTCTGTTTCCTTTTCCGCCTCTTCCTGTTCCTGCTCGAGGTCCTCGTCCTCTTCCTCGCTATCACTCGAGTCCGCAGCGTTCATCACCTGCTCGAACAGCGTAGGCTCGTTATCTAACTCCAAATCCTCCGGATGCGGCTGGAACACTGGCAATGTGGATGCCGGGGCGACGTTAAACTGCAGCAAAAACAACACAAACGAACCGTTAGAAAACAACTTAACACACACATAATCACACCATAACGAACCTTAGCAACAGCGCGTAGATCCATGCCAACATACGAGTCGCTCTTAACGAAAATATCCAGCTGGTAGGTACCAGCCTTAGGCGGTGCCTGCAGCTGAAGCCTCTGTTCCACCACGCGCTCTTGAGACGTCATTTTGGAGAAGGCGTGCAAGTGGTTCATCTTCACGTCACCCACGATGCAGTACCAGCGCTCCATCTTCGGGTACGGGAAGCGTGGAGCATACACCAAGTCGCACGTGTCTCCTTCCTTGACGTTCTTACGTGTAAGCTTCACTGTGACCGTCATGATGTCTCCCTCAGCAATAAACTCCTCGTCATCCACACCAATCGAGATCTGCAGTTCCATGTGCGGCATCATGTCCAGCACCGTCGTCACTTCTTGACGGTCTTCCTCGGACAACCCACTAAGTCCCTTCCGTTCCTCTGGCTTCATGGCGATGTACTGGTGCATACTACGCACAGCATTCTTCCCCGTAACAATGTGCTTCACTTCAGCTTCAGTTAAGTGCGGAAGTTGCAGGAATGGCGGGTCCTTGAACCAGAGTCCTTGAGTCAAGAACTGCTGCATCTCCATGAGGTTCAACGTGGTCTGTAGCCATGATTTCATCACGGAAATCTCCAGCATACCGTCTACTAATTGAATCGCCTTCTTAAGCATCAGATTCAGGTCTCCTTGCAGCGTCGGACTCAGTTTTTCACGTAGGAAATGCGCATGCAGCAGCAGGTTGGCTTTGGCGATAGATGGGTGGTTGTACTTGGGTTTCGCCATCATATCCGACTGCTTCAGCTTCTTGAACAACGCGCCAAGCTCCGCGTCGTCGCTGGAGCGACGTGGGATCTCGCGGAACTCGGCGGAACCGGCCAAGATCTCGGGCAACATACGCGGGTGCGCGTGCTGCGACATGGCGAAGTTGTAGAAGCCGTACGTGTCGTACATGATCATGCTGTCTCCGTACTTCTTCGAGTGCGAGTACCAGAGCGCCACGCAGCTGGGAATAGCCACGACGAGGATGATCAGGTACAGGAACAGCACCAGATTGTGGTTCGCTGGGTCCAATAGGAACGTAGGCAAACCGATAGACAACTGCAGAGCCTGACGACCGTCCGGGTTGCCGAATTTCTCGTAATTCGCCTTGGCCACTTCGTCCGTCAGCGCCTCGTAGGCCTTCGCCACGAGCATAAACTTCTGCTCGGCTACAGCGTCGCCCTGGTTCTTGTCCGGATGGTACAGCAGACTCATTTTACGGTACGCACGCTTGATTTCGCGTTCTGTAGCACCTGCTGCGATGCCGAGGATGGCGAACGGGTCGAACGACTTGATCTCCGAGTCGTCCTTTAAGAGGAACGTCATGCGCACCAGCGCGTACCACACAGCGGCCAGTACGAGCAGGTTGAGCACGAAAGGCAGCGAGAATACGTTGCGGAAAGCCGTCTTCTCGGCCTGCAGCTGCTTCACTTTACGCAGTTCGCGCTCACATCGCACGTGGCTCTTGTCGAGCAGGCGGTCCTTGAGGAACACGCCGTAGAGGATACGCCGCAGCGACAAGAACGTCACGGGCACCGCATACAGCGCGCACAGCGACACTGAGAAGTAGTAGAAGGCCGAGTTGTCGTACTCCAACATGGCGAAGAGAGCGACGATACGCGAATGGGTCGACGAATGCGGGCGCTGCCTCTGCCCTTGGATTATGAGGGACGACACGTGGAGATGGCCCCCTCAACATGCAACCAGGTGATGGGGCTGGGGAGTAGTGACGGGGGAACGAGATCGTTGCGGATTCAGGGTCGTGTTTGATTAATTGTTGTGTTTTGAGACGAAATTTGTGCTTTTGAGTGATAGATACCAACCATTTTTATCGGTTTAGACAGGTTTTAAAGTGCGTCAGCTGTTTCACTTGTGCTCACTATACCGCGGATACGCCTTTTTGCCAATCAAAATGTCGTCTCTGACGTGGCGCTCCTCGTGGTCCTCTGCCGATGGCTCGGTGGACGTGCAGGTCCTGGACAATAATCGAGGCGGCGTAGTGTCTCTCTCGTCATTGCCATTGCAATTGATTCGCTCTGCATCAGACGCCTCTGTGCCGTGTCAAATGTCGCTGCATTGGTCGCCACAGCCTCTACGCTGTCTCCAGCTCCAGCTCGAGGTGCAATGCTCGGCTCGTCACGTAGAACTACACGCCGAAGGCACACGTCGCAATATGTTGGGTGAAGAGGAGCAAGGTGAAGTATATCTGGGCACATTCCGAGGCACCAAAGCGTCGACGGAGGTGTCGAATTTCACCATGTCGCCAATTTTCAAGCAAAGTGATCGCGACTGTGATATTCTCAAAAGTTTGCAATCGCTCAAAGTCAAATTTGTATCCCTCACGGGTGACAAAAATGTACTGAATCTGCAACAACTTCAATGTGTATTTGTACCCATGGAACCAGTTGCAGTAGTCGATACAAGGTGAGAATTAGGAGGTTGAAAAATGCACTAGGTACTGACGTTATATTTCAGTGCTTCGGATGTGGCTGCAAAGGTATCGGGGCTCAATATTGGAGGAGCAGCAGATGTGCAAACGCTTTTGAAGGGGTTCCAGCAGACATTGGAGCGTGAAATGGAGACCAAAATTGCTCGAGTGATCGATGCAAAGCTGTCGACACTTTCGCAACGTTTGGCATTCTCAGAGCAAGCGCTTTTCCAATTGCACAAGAAAATGGACGCAAAAGATGCACACGTACAGGCAAGTCTAGTCGAGATCCAACAGAAATTCTCCAAGTTAGAAACCCAGTTGAGCCAATTCAACGCCAAAGATACAGAGAACGAGGAGGTTTCAGACGAAAAAAATACTGCAGACGGCGATGACGTGAATACGGGGGATGGACAAGACACGGCAGTCGCAGAATAAACAGCCATCTTGTCTTTTATCTCTTCACAGTTGGAGGCAACCTTCGGCCGCCATCTTGGTTTGTATGCTGGAGCCATCTCATGCACAGCAGAGTGCGATATCGTAGCGTGTCGAAGAGTTCGGAATACTTGTCAAATGATTGAGCTGTAGGGAAAATGCGCTTAAAGTGTCCGCAGCGATGGAGTTCTTCCTCCATCTCCTTTACAAGTTGCAAGTCTTCGTCACTAAGTTGGGACATCGTGATGTTGTTAGCTGATCTGGACAACTCGTCAAGTGTGCGTTGCCGTCTCAGTGTTTCGTTCTCTTTACGGAGACTCGCTCTAGTGACTCCTGGCTGCTTGATACCGTGGAGACGAGCTAGCTTGGCCTTTTCTAGCTGCTGCGTTTCTCTCTTCGCGTCTACGAATGGAATCCCCACAAGCTGGAACAAATCACTGACTAGCACTGTTTTAATGCGTTTATCCATTGGTGAGGAGCTGCTGAGTGACGGGAAAATATTCACTTCCAGAAGACGAGGCATAAGATAATCCCCTTCAATCAGGACATCGAACCCGTACAACTCGAACGTGTTGCAACTGGAGGCAGACGCTAGTTTATCTTGTACCGCAATTAACGTCTTGACGATCAATTCTTCGAGTGCTTTTTGGAAGGTCTCAAGCTCCAAAGCTTTGCCTTGATCACGCAGGTAGGTATACAGCATCTGCAGACTCCATTTGCTACTTGAGAACGTATGAAAGTCATCCTGTGTATCGTGATTTTTCTGAAACGCAGCACAATTTTGCTTGTTGATACTGTAATTTGTGAGATGCCCAAAGGGATTCTGTAAATCACTTTTCTTCGTCGAGTATTTTTCCGTACAGAAGCGTACTAATCCGTCGTTGAAGAGATAGATACGCATTGGGTCATACGACGTTACTGCGACGTAGACACGGAGATCAAACTTGAGACCATTGATCAAGAACGGGTTGGCAACATAACGCTGAGCAACGTAAGCTTTCTTCTTTGATAGCTTTGGGGTTGGGTGGGTACTTGCAGACACGAGTTTAATACCTCGACCACAGGATAAATTAGGTGGTTTTAGGATCCAAACAGCGTTTGGCTCAGCGTGGAAACGCGTTAAAAACTGCTGCTTGTCGTAGTCATTTGCTGTAACATACGTCTCGGGGATGATATCTGCGTAGGCGTGTGGGTGTCTCTTCCTCATTCGCAGTAAGTGGGAACATAATCGATCTTTACGACCCAATTCAAAGCTGCCAGGGAAATGATTCACACGCTGAAATGGGAGCAACGCAGCGCACTTGAGATGCTCTCCCCAAAAAATGTTCCAATTGTTACAAGATGCAGTTTTACGGACGTTGGTAGCACGGAGCGCGTTGGTGATGGCGTTGTACAGTAAGCGTTTGGTCCCTGCAAAGGACAAGTGCAGTGATCCGTCTCCATACATTTCGCGGACTACAAGACCGAGTTAGTAAGTTGCAGTCAAATAGAAATGAGTGTACTTACCTTCGTATCCAGCAGGGCATGGTCTCTCGAGTTTAACAAAGGCTGGATAGGGGAAGAAGAGCACTGGCTGTGAAGAAGGATTGATTTTGGAGACAAGAACGAAGATTGTGCCCTGGCGTTTGCCTTCCGGTTCCTGCTGCATCACGACCAATTGATCTTAAAAAGTAAGAAATATGATGGCTCTATTTTTGAGAAACTGGCAAAAGTGATTTTTCTTTTAACTATTTGTGGTGTCCTCCTCGGCCATCGCCACGTTCAATAATGTCTCGAGAACTACTTGAGGATGATAGCACTCTACCGATAAATGATGGAAGCTTGAACACCGTGTCGAGAAACTCTTTAATTAACGATGATTTGCAAGAACTGACGAGGTCCACACAGCAAGCACCACAGCCATTGCAGCAGCAAGGCGAGGCTTTAGTAACACTCTCGAGTTCTATGAGTATCGCCAAAGTTCCGGCAGCACCTCGACATGGTTCGATGCTCAGTTCGCTGAAAGCTCAATATCGCAAGCTGCGTACATTTAAGGGCACAGTCCGAGCGCTTATCAACCTCAAGCGGTCACCGCTACTAAGTGTTGTCAAGGTCACTTCACCGACGGTGCCGACACTAATCGATGACCAAAGGAGGTGAGACGAATGGCACGACTCAGTATGACTGCTAACTGTGTTGAATCCCCAGTGCTGTACTAGAAGTACCCAGGATTTCAGCTACCGCGGCTTCTAGCGTCCAGTCTCAAGTTCGAAAGCTTGTGGCTGACGGGTGTGATTGTTGCGGGTTGTTCTTTTAAGCACACGTCATTCGCTGAGTGTAGTTTGCAATTCGCAGGCATGTTGTGGCCGAAATCGACCCGACAATAGGCTCAGAGGTCACGTACCGCCAACAAGGCAATTTGGATCTCTATACGAAGGTCGATTCGTCTACCGCAGCTACTCATTTCTCTCAGGCTAACTCTTTCTTTTGCTGTAGGACAACTTGGCAAAGCGCGTGAGCCTCCAACAACATCCCCATATGATTGCACTTACGCAAGTCTTTGGAACTGCGCACTGCAAAATGGAGAGAAGAAACTCAAGTTCGATGATTACGAGGCGTACATGTTGTGCTTACACCGCTTAATTCTGCCTGAGTTCAATATCACTGCCTCGAAAGAACTCATCAGGGACGACTGGAAGCGAGATAGCGGAGAGCAGGACTTTCTGGACTACTCTTTCTTTCACCTGTCGATGTTCGAACTTGTTGGTATGGATGATGTAAATTGCATGAGTATTTGCAGAGTTTGTTACTTGAAATTAATTATCTGTAGACTTGTGGACCGACACCGTTGACCCCGAAGATGTACGTCGATACTTTGCATACTATGTTTTGCCGTTGTTGATATTTCGCTTATTGATTGTTGCCAGTACGTCTCGTTATTGTATTGCATTTCCCATTGTCTGACGTTTGTCGTCAACAAAAGTCACGTATTGAAATCCCTTGAAGGTTTAGCAAGAGCTTGATAAAAAGGAACAGCGTTTCTCGTTTAAATTACCGTATTTTATTTTATGTTGCTATAGATGTGTCAAATGTTGACATCTTAGAAAAGTCCAAGGGGGTAACAATGGAAGTCATCGAGCAGGACTTGCAACTAGAGTTGTCCAGTGAAGCGTTCAAGTTTTATCGAGATCAGATTAAGCTTGCAACCAAAGCAGCACACAACGTTGAGCAAGGTCCAAATGAAAGAACCAGTTTAAGACGACAGTCGCGAAGCAAACAACGCGGAAACGACAGTCTCGTCAGAACGCAGTCGCGGCGTTCGAGCGAACTTAGCAGTCCGAGACACAGTCAACCAGGTGGTAGTCGACGCTCATCAAGATCCCAGTCACGAGGAGCGATTGAATTGAATATTTTGCGGCCACAGTCGCGAAGTCAACAAGGTGATAACGAAAGCTCACCCAGATCGCAATCGCGCGAGCGTAAACTCTCGTCATCGAGAAGAGAAGAACCAGACGGATCCATTAAGAATGGTGAGTACTGATTTATAATATTGAATGTGATCTTTATTGTGATGTATTGTGTCTTCTAGACGTGGAATCAACGTTGAATTCAACGCCACAACACCATCAAAGCCGATCTGGTAGCGGCGCTTTCAGTCACATTTCCTTGAGGCGGAAGTTCTCGGTGCAAGTCAATTCGAACGCACTCAACCTGACAGCAGTCTCTGGTACACAACTAGTGTATATATTTTTTTTACTTATACTTTAGTGGTTCGAATTCACTTTTCTGATTGTTTCTTAGGCTCTGAAAGTATCAAGATGGAACCTTTATCGCAGAGCTATCCGGCTGGAACGATACCGAGAAAACAAACTGGACTTCAACGAGGGACTTCGCCCAATATATTTTCCCGCGGTGGAGGCGTGGTGTTGAATATTGGTATGATGGACGGTTTGATGATCCATAAGTCCATAGCAGACGGCAAACCTAACGTCACAGTATCACCATCGGGGATGGCTACACTTCAAAGACGAAGGTCCCGGAGCGCGTCAAACTCTAGCCAGCATCGCCGAGAACCGATTATTTAAGCGGTATCCGATAAAGCCGACAGTCCCCGCGAGCCATCTCAATCATCCGGACTGCATGTGAGCCACATTGAAGCATTAGGGTCGACTCTCCGCACTGGAACACAAGACCCCAATGCTTTAGGGTTGTCACTCAACCCAGGTGCAGCAGATTTCGGAACCATTCGAGAACCGTTTACGGTACGCACTGCTGCTGTTGCTGAAGCAGCAGCCAACATGGCCGTGCCGGCGTCTCCTTCGAACTCAGGACAACCCTTTTCTGCCCAACATACACTGCTCCAATTGCAGCAGCATATACCACAGTCCGACGCGAATGGCCCTTATATCAACAATAGCAGTCTTACCGCACCGTTGATAACGATCATAAGTAGCAAGGCACCAACTCCGATCAACAAGATTAATCTGCAATTGCACGAGATGCAGGCTACACGACCGCAAACCCCTCACGAAGGTCGTTTGGGAACACCGATATCATCACCTCGGGCCAGTAATGCGATCACCGCTCAAGCTATCGGTATCTTCATCTCTTCACAGCAACAACCGAAGCCTCCAACTTCCACACGACCAATAAATCTCGGAACCATTTTGAGCAGCGACCACCACCCACCGAAAGTTTCTAAAGCTCTGCAACAATTTCAACAGGACGAAAGTCCGTCCCTAGTTGCAGTCGTACCCGGTTTAGTGCCAGCAACTATCGTGCCACTGACAATAAGTGGTAAGCCGGCAGCCCCTAACATCCGTGTCGAATCAGCTCACCAACAGCCGTCGAAAGAAAAAGCCCCTGTGTTGCTTGAGGACGGGTCAATAACCCGCAAATTCAACGGAGTGACGAGGACTTCCCCGCCAAAAGACGACTCGAAATCGCTGTTATCACCTCGGTACGTCGTCGCTGAACCCGCTGTTTCCCACCGTTCTACACCGATTTCAACCCTGAAACAAGCAAGTATTCAACCTCACGGCTCGATTCGAGGATTTACCGGTATTAAAAACAGCCCGCGAATCCGACAGCAGCCTTCGAGGCTTGTCACTGATCCAGCAACAAGCTACTTGCAGCAGCATCGTCAGCAGCGACATCTGTCTGAGCCTCAGGAACTCGTCCAAGCTCGGATAGCATTGGTAAAATACTATTTTAGATTTCGATTTTCCCAAAATTAAAAGTACTATTCACACAATTCAGATTACTATTACCAGAATCCATTTTTTCGTTACCGGTCATGAGGTCTGAGATCGAAACGCAGGGAACGCTCTGGTGGGACGAACAGCTCGTCCAGCCGAGCGTCTCCTTCCGCGCCGCCTTCTTCCCAGCCTTATTATGCGTCTGTGACGCTCAGTCGCTTCCGTCTGAGCTCTCACGCGACGAATTGCGCGTTGTAACAAAGTTTTGCGTCTCGCATACTGCTCACCAAAGTGATCAAGTGACCAAAGAAGACGTAGGACGAGCTCAAAACCAGTGAATTTGAGTTTCTTAAAGTACTAATGACATGTCCTACATACTGCAATTGTTGCAGTTCCGTCGGTTCATCGCCCGCTTCGGACCGCTCGAGTTTAGTTTGTCCAAACTGGTGGCGTGCTTCTGCATAAACCGCGAGTTGGTGCCTTGGTTCCATGGAGAAATCGGGAGGGACGAGGCCGAGAGTGTGCTTTCCACTCGAGAGCGTAGCGATGGCGCGTTTCTGGTGCGGTTTTCCGAGTCCCACCCGACGAAATTCACACTGACATACCTTAAAATTCATTCGGCGAGCTCGAATACTCCGGGGAGACGGGAATTGAAGAATTGCCTGGTGAATAATCTAGGAGCCACAGGGTATGCGCTAACAGAGGCAGTGAGACGAGGAGGTGCGCGTGCAAGTGTTAGACAGCGCACGTATCCGTCCATTGGAGCGTTTATCCAGTCTAGCTCAGCTCGACTCAAATACGGGGTACGTTGCTAGACTTCAGCTAATAAAGACGAGCTAACATTTGTTGCAGGTGGCGTCGGAGTTCTCTTCGAAGTGTAATCAGGAACTGGCGGCGGTACGAGCTATACAGGATCAACAGAGCGACTCGTATGCGGCATTTAGTGCGGAATCCTTTGGGAACCCAGAGCCACCCGCCAACGCGACTTTCTCACGAACTCCACCGTCGCAATCTTCGTTCCTCAATACGCCAATGTTTAACATGAACGCTGGCAACGCAAGTGGAGGGATCTCTGATAGCTATGCAAGTTTTACGTTGGATTCATTAGCGCCGCCTACGGTGCATCGTGTGGAGGATCCACCGTCCACTTGCCATTACGAAGACAGCGATGGGAAAGGTTCGTCTGCTTCAAGACCGTTCGTTAGCGACTACGGAAGTTTTGCAGCTTTTGCACAGCAGCGACAACCACAAGAGCAAGCACAACCCTCAACAGCTCAACGTACACCTGCTGTCTCTGATGAGTACGCCTCCTTCGCGAACTTAGCGTCCACCTATTCGCACGATTCCCAGCAAGCAGCAATACGACAAGCCACTGCATTTTCAAGATCGCCATCGTCTACCATCCAATCGGGTTTTGCGAACACTGGGGCGTATGGATCGTTTGCCAGTGTCGCCGTAAGTAAACCCACAACTGCCGATGCCCCGAACAGCCGCAAACACTCAGCCACCGACGACTATGGAAGCTTTGCTTCACTAGCAGACGAGTTTGAGGACAAGAGACCGCAGTGGGAACAATCACTGGGACCACCTCCTCCACCCATGACCGCACCTGCCAGCGCTGACGTCTACGGAGACTTCGCTGCTCTATCACTCAGTAATAAAGTGTCAACACACAAGGAACAAGCGCCACCACCAAAGTCGCTGCCGATAGCTCCAAACGCGGACGTGTACGGGTCGTTTGACCCCACAGCGTCAACTCCGGCGACGACGATCACGCCAACTACCTCCGCCCTGGATGAACTCAACGTCGGGATGGAGTTTTACAAGCAAAAGCGGCTAGACGACGCCCTTCTCCGCTTCATGTTGGCGCAGGAAATGGCGCGGTCAACTGGAGATCAAGTAGTGGAAGCACGCGCGTTGGGTAACCTTGGCACCGTGTACTTGGACAAGAAGAATCCACATCAAGCTGTGCGTTGCTACCAGCATTGTCTCGATATCACCCGCGCCATTGAGGACACTAAAAGGGAACGCACCATCCTCAACAACCTCGTTCTTGCACTAGTAGCAAGTGAAGACTTGGAACGTGCACTTTCGTGTTGTCAAGTGCAGTTGGAGACCACCACAAATGCCATGAATCGTCGCAAAATCATCTCTCGGATGAGTCTGCTTCGCGAGAAAATGGCGCGTCAAGCCACATCGTGACCTATAACAATAGTAATTGGGTGCTTCGACTAGATCTGTGGACTTACAACGCAACTGACGCTTGTGTTATGGCTCCAGATGGGTCGTGAGGGGAAGGTGCTACCACAACAGCAGCAGGGAGAGGTGGAAGCGCCTCAAAAAGGAGCTGGTTGAGTGACAAACTAGGCACGTCGTGTCTCTTGTCGTCTTGGCTGTCGTGTCCTGGAAGCTGTTGCGTTTGTTCCAGCTCATCCACCGCGAATTCGTGATCCAGCAGGTCTCTCCAGTCGCTCGCGAACAGATCCCACTCTAGTTGACTGCAGAGTAATTCTTCCGGCCGACTCGCTTGTAGAAGATCCGGTAGAATGCTGTTGGTGCGACTTGTTCTCTTCAAATTGGTTGCCAGACCTACGTGAAGTAACAATTCTACTTGGTGAGGACGCGTAGTAGTCTGTGCAACAGCAGGAAGAAAGCCGATACCGCCAACTACGCGACGAAGATCAGTACACGCCAATGCTACAGCATACACACGACAGCAAAGTGCACAGATCTCCGGATGAGAATCCGACACGAACGAATAGAACGACGAAACATCCGTGTAACAATCTGTCGTGTCGACATCGAACGGGAAGTGACGCAGTTGATACGCATTCAAGATGGATTCCACTTTGCTGGACGTCACCGTGGACGGATGGAACCAGCGTTGGAAGTAGAGCTGGAAATATGAAGCCACCGACTTCCATTGCAGCGCCTTGTTGCTGGTGTCGAGACGTTCAAAGTCCATGTGGAAGTCGAACACGTACGCGAGTACCATCGTCGACAGATCATAGCGTTGCCACATCGCATCCAGAACGTCATGAAGTCGACGTGCCACGACTGTCGTGTCATCATTCGACGATGCATTCATATCGGTAGACTCTGCTAGCTCTGCGTACTGCTGACTCATCCGACCGAGCTGGTACATGACGTGAGCCAGAGTGAAGCCTCCGTGCACTGTCGTCGCGCATTCGTCATCATTGTCGTATTCAGTGATGTCATCCACGTGTACTTTGGGTCTGGACTGGAACACGAGGCTGTAGGCTTCACGTAATGGAGCAAGCAGCACAGCCAGTTCTCGTAGAGTTCTCCACAGTTGACCGTCGTTACCCAGCACCAGATCGCGCAGTGTTAACGGCAGAGACGAGTCTCCTTCCTCTTGACATAACGCAGTGATAGCGTCGCTGTAGTGCAAGGCCTTAGTCAGACTAGCGACAAACGAGAACCAGTGGTCTCTTGTCGGGAGGGGGATACGTGCATCATCGTCTCCGGACATGACACGCAAAGAGGTCTGCAGTTGTGCGTTCGAGAAATACGCAGCCAGTTCCACGAGCTGTCCAACTGCATCACGATAAGCTTCATGCGTCAAGACGTTGCCAGCTAGTGACGTCAACAGAGCAGACATACACGGAACTACTAGTAGAGAGCGCCATTGTGCACTCTGACAAACTCGCTTGGCAGCACTTAATGCGATAGCTGAGTCAGCTACAATCCCCATGACTGAGATATTCCTGTCGCTGAGATCCTGAAGAACGTTCTCAATGGCGTTTGCAAGTGGCAGCAATAGAGCTGGACGGAGGAGTGACATGGGAGACGTGGCGTCGTTGTCGCCACCTGAGTGTCGTGATATATGTCCTGCAATGTCTTCTACCCGAACACAGGCGGCGTCTCCATTGGAATTCACGAGCGTGAACGCCACTAGTTGCTGTAGATCCAGGGTACGCCAGCAGGTTACACTCAGCGTAAGGCCGCTTTTAATCGTCGAATTGAGGCTGCCTTCTTTTACGTGATCCAGTTGACTATCTGCCAGTTTGGCTGCTGTCTCTTCGAGGAACGCTGGAGTGGCCACACTGCTGATCAGTTCGTAGTTCTCCAGTTTTATAGGGCTCATAACCTGTAGTAACTCTTGGAATTCTCGCTTGTGAAAAGCTGATAGTGGGATGCCTGCGGCCACGGCCATCTGCAGCAAATTGGTCCTCCATCGCGATAAAGGGTCCTCCTCTGTTGGGTCTCTACTTTCCGTGCGTCCGCGTTTAGTCGATATTGTCAAAAACTCGGTAGCATTCTGTCCACTTTTTGTCTTGTGTGCGTGTCCACTAGTGTCCAACGACGTCTCGTCTGTAAGCGCTTCACTGGCTGTCCTCTTGCCGCTTACTGAAACGTCCTCCGTCCCTGCCGCGTCATCTGCTGACGTCTCCATCGTTGGTGCGGCACTTGACGCTACGGCGTCTAAGAGCAATTCTTGGTCCACATTGCTGGTACTAGAGCAAGTGTTTGCGCTCTTCTTGGTGTGTGTCGCTCGCTCCCGTCCATTGCAAAGATCTTTGACTGCATCCACCACTTTACGAGGACAATTCGTACAGCTCTCGAGGTGGCGGAGCATGTCTGTGGACACACCGCGCGTTGGCGGTACGCGATCAGCACCGTGACGAGCTACACAGTACGAACAGTATGCGTGGTAGTGATACCGGTTACGCTTCTCTCCGCGGTGGAAATGCGCCCACAGAGGGTGCATCGGTCGCCCCGTGCGCTTCGGAAGCTCCATTTTCGTTGGTTAAGATGTTTGATAGTAACCCAGCAATACCCGGTTTAGTGACTCTTACAAATATCAAATGCTCACTTTAGTGTATTCAGTCACTGACAATCCCTTTCCGACTCTTCACTCAGCAATTATCCCTGTTGTTTCTTGTCCAGTCCATTGCTATGGAGAACGCAGCCACTCCTTCATGCTCCGTGTCGGGCTCGCAACGCAACCGTCAGACGGACGCTGAAGCCAATTCGGTCAACCAGCAGGCGCCCGCGCAGCCCGAGCACGACATGTTTGGAGGTAACGTACCCTGTCATTTCCCAGGGGTTACGCTTTTGTAAATCTGAATCTGACCACATGCGTTGTTGTGGACAGATCGGAACCTCAACACCGTCATGATGTTCATGTTGCTGCTGCACTTCATGCAGTACGCGATGCGCCAGCCTTGCGGCTGCTAAAGAGACGCCACATCTGAGTCGAACTGGGGTTTATCGAGACCTCGGACACTCATGCTACCAGTTGTCGTTCCATGTTTCTGTGTCTAACTTTTTTCTAAATGTCGGCTGCTGCCTGTAACCCTTTAAAAAGACATTATACACGCGCACCAAATCCTATTTTTAAAGTGTCTGCTAGATTTAGAAGCATTTTCGATCCAGAATGGCTTCGTGATACTCTTCCCACTCTTGTTTCGTGATGTGAATGTCGTGGAATGTGTCGAGAGAGGCAAACATGGACCCTCCGACCCACGCAGCGATCTTCCGCTGCGAATTGTAGCCTCGTTCCCGAATTATTGGATCCGGGACAACGTTCAGAGCGCTACCAGGTAGAACCGACTGGAGCTCCTCTTGGAATCGACGTGAGGTCCCAGGCAGCATAGTCGTACCCCCGGCGAGCACGACAGCGTTTAGCAGATCACTTTGTAGATCCTTGTCACACATGGCAAGACTCGCAGCCACACATTCGTGCAGTCCTTTGTCGGGTCGCAGTGGATGATCATCTCCAAGCTCATGCGGTTTGAAGAGTATTTCTGCTGGCATCGTTTGAGTGACCCGATCTACCTGCAATATCGTACCATCAGGCAACTCGAATGGCTTGCCCGCGTCGTCCTGTTGGTTCTGTCCTTGTTGGTCCGTACTATTCCCCATCGCACAAGTCGCCTCTTTGACTTGGTCAATCGTATGTAATGGAAATGAGTGGAAAGATACTTCACGTTTGGATAGCAGCATGTGAAGACGATGGCTGATATCCACGCCACCAACATTGTAGTGTATCGCAGCATGAGGCAGCGCGTAACCCTCAAAAATAGGGATCGCGTGGCTCGATCCGTGACCCACTTCCACCACTAGTCCTCGAGTACGTCCAGATGCAAACAATGAAAGCACACACTGCTGCATGAAGTAGAAGCCACAAACCTTCTGCGACTCGAACATGAGCTGCGCCATGCGTTCTTGCTGTTTCTTGGATCCAGAAGGTGAGCCGATGCAGAGTACAGGCAACGCTACAGTCTCAGGATCTACTCGCAGCTCCTGAGCAAATACGAACTCCCACATGCGCTCCAATGCGTCCCAGTCGTCCACAATCCCGCGATTGATTGGATTCGAGAGCTCTAGGAAGTCACGATACTGCTGACACTCGGCCCCTACGAACGTCTCGCGGTCACGTAGATCAGCCTTCCAATTCGGAGCTTGTGACGCAAACCACTCCGGGTTTTTCACGCGCCCCGCACACGTTGTGAACGTCGTTCGTGGCGTGTCTTCACCCGAATATCCTGCCTTGAACACCCCAGAGCCATTATCCAACACGATTGCCTCCATGAGACTCGAAGACTGCTTGAAGATTCGATGTATCACAAATGTAGCCATCTTCGTTACGACCTTTCGTCCGATTCATTTTTGTCCAATGAAACATCGTATCCAGTCATTTTTGATGTGCGAGGAAGTATTCGAGAGCGAGGCATGTCGCGTCTGGACGGGAGCCCTAGGCACGCCCCTACATGTCGTTGAGGATGCAGAGCAGTCTGATTTCGATGTGATCCCCTTCAGCCTTCAGATCTGGTTAAAATCTGCTGCTATTAATGCATCTGTGGCCAGCCAGAGCTCACCGAAGCAAGGTCTCTACTTGGCAAAAGACTTTAAACCTGGTGTTAATAAGCAAAACCAAAGTATGTTGCTGCCATCTAGTGCATTATCGTGTTTCTCCATATACAGGTACGCAGTACTTAAGTTTAAACTTTACATTATAAGCTGAGCTTTGTCAAATGTTGCTCACTGCTGTTCCGACCAGTCCGTCGCCTTTCGTGTCCAGTGTTCTGGTTGTTCTAGATGTGGATGACGATTCACAACAAGGGTATTTCTTCGGACGAGTACGTCGAGTGGCGTTAAGACCAGTAGCAAGTGGCAAAGTGCGATCAGAAGACCAAGATAAAGACACGTTCTATGATACAGAGGTAGCGGAGGAGCTGCTAGCTGCTTTGCATACAGCATTCCCTAAAGTACAGCTCTCCAGCTCAGCGAAAAACTGTATTGCCAAGCGAGAAATGAGTCGCTGTGCTACGGGATTGAAGCTTGGGGAGATGGTTAAACGCAGAAAAACGTTGTCAGCGGAAGCGTTTTACGGGTCTGTGAAGTCGACAGTGACTGGTAACCCACGTGCATCGGATAATATGTGGCACTCATTCTATGAGAAGCTGCAGTTTAGAGTCTCGCACTCACTACTGTGCCAGCTGGAAGGCACAGCGCCGATCTCATCGTCGTTCCCTCGACAACAAGAAGCTTTTGAGTTCGCTGATCAAGTCACAGCATTCAGACAACGTGTCAGAGCCACCCGCGACGTATCATCAGGAAAGGGAAGTGATGACGAGTACACGCCTCGTGTGTTCTCCTTCGAGAGTGCAGGTGACGGAAAACGGCGTTTTCTTGTTGCCAGCTTAACTGAATTCTGGAAGAACTACAAGAAAACCCGCGACGACCACCGGCATGTCTACGAGATCATACGTGAAGGCGTACCTTGCCGACTTTACTTTGATCTGGAGTTCAAACGTGAAATTAATCTGCACGTGGACGGTAATGAACTTGTGGCTAGACTAGTGTCCTTACTACAACTTCAGCTTTTCGTAAGTACAAGAGCCAAAACACTGCTAAGAAAAAAAATACTGACGTGCGTTCGTTACAGCGCAGATATGGCATTCACGTCCAGCACCAAGATATTTACCACCTGGACTCCTCAACGTCCGCTAAATTCAGTCGTCATCTCATTGTACGCGCAGAAACGAGAATTTTACAATTACTTTTGACTAAAAGCTAACACTTTTTTTTACGAAGTTCCATTTTCCTGATGGCAGTCTCTTTACAAACAATCTTCACGCTGGAGCAGTACGAACTACAAGTCTAGTTATTCTAAAATTCGACTCAAGCTCACACTGATGTTGTGAACAGTTTGTACGCGAATGTATATCCGATCTTGTGGACCTGAATGACTGCACCTCCGATAAACTAGAGACACCCGACGATCTCCTGTCGCCATTCCTCGTTAATACTGAGTCTGGGGACGACCCAGTTGACAAGAAACAGCTTTTTATTGATACGGGCGTGTACACTCGCAATCGCATGTTCCGGGTGCTGGGTTCGTCAAAGTTCAAGAAGCAGGTAGTCTTGCGTTCGATGAATGCTTCATCTGACACGGAGCTTGACTTCGACTTGTTCATGAACACTCTGGTGTGTCCGTACCCATCTCTTGAAGCCCTGGAGCTTACAACCAAGGATTACCGTTTACTGCACTGTGAAGCATCATCTACGCTAGGACGCAACCAGAAAGTTAACGTTTCTGGAACCAAGAGTACTTCTACACCAGTGGAATGCCGGAGATCCGTTTACCCCATGTTGGATGCTTTCATTCGCTCTCAAGCTACGACGGGCGGCGTTCAAGGTGAAATTCGAGCGATTCAAATGCTAATGACGAGTAATTCAGCGATGTTGGCAGTGTTACCTGGTCAAGAAGATGCCCAAGAACAAGCTGAGGATAAGGCGGCTAAACCGTATCCGTGGATGATTATCTATCACATGGCACGTAATCGCTGGTGTGCGAATATTAGGCGGCCACACAAGAGCAACAATGTCATGTTCATTGTGGACATTGATCAGCGTGTCTTTTACCAGAAGTGTCACGACCCAACCTGCCAAGCAATGGATTTCAGGTACGGCGAGTAGCCGATTATTTGCCGACATTCATCAAATCTAACACTCGGTGCTTGTATTAGGTCGCCACCACAACCGCTTCCTCCAAACATCAACTTGAGCACGGAAACGACAGATATCCGGGACGATCACTGCGGAGAAACACCTTAAGATATTCGTTTATAACAGTAGTCAACTTCAACGGGTATGCTGCAGACTGTATGGACAACAGCGCAAGCACAACTGAATGCAATTCCGAAGATGAATCGAGTTTTTTACCGAGGTTTTACTAGGCCGAACCGAAGGTGGAGGCCGAAAGCCTCGCCGAAGCCATTAAGCATTTTAATGGTTACGCACGGCCCCTCCTCTTAACTATAGAGCATAAGGGTTAAAATCGGTGTATTGGGGGTCATGTGGAGGGGTTCGACGCCTTTTCAATCTTTACATCCTGTCCGTCCAAATTAGGGTGAAGGATCACTCTGCGTTTGATCATGTGCCGGCAACGACGAGCACGAACCGCAGCGATAGCCGTGAGTCTACTGCTCGGTGCTGTAGGATATGTAGCTGCCCTGCCGACTCAGACCTCCGAGACAGAATTCCAGATCGCGGAGGCTTTTGAGACTACTTCAAATGAGAACGAGACGACACTCCTGGACGACGTCGTGGTGTCTGCATCGCTAGAAAGTGAGAAGACCGTGCCACTGCCAGTGGAGACGAAGCCGCGTGACTTGAGGCCAGTCAAAGCCTCAACAACGGAGCATCACACCGAAAGCCACTCGCTCACTCTGCCGTACGGAGGAGCGTTAGTCGCAGTCGAGGCTACAGCTCTCCTTGTCGGTGGTGCTACGATCGCTGTGCTAGCGATCTCGAAGATCAAATCGCGGGCTACGACGATTCAGTACGACTACGACCGAGGTGAGCTCTTAAGTTGATTTTGACTACAAAAAGTTCCTTATCCTGTTTTATCCTGCATTCTGCAGACCACATTGACCCAATGTTACAGTCACTACTGTACAGTGACATGGACTATGCTGCAATTTAAGAGATTATTAGGCTGCAGGATGCGGTTTAAGCTTGACAATCCTGTTTCGTGTTTCAGTTTAATATTGAGTCGTCGATCCCAAAAGCAGTTTTACAGTTTTGATATACTGCCGCAGCTAGATCGTTTAAGCCAACACCTCGAATCTCCGCTGCACTTTGTAGTGCTAGCTTCACCATTACAGGCTCATTGACGTCAGTTGAGCTCTGCTGGAGCAACAAAGGCAAGCCTTTAGCGTCCAGAGCCTCACGATTGAAAACCTTTTCGGCTTGTTCAGCGGAAGGAGCTTGATCTGGTGCGTCTGTTTCAAGCAGTAGTGACTCTAACGGCATTTCCTTACAACATGCCGCTGCTTTCTTCATTTGCGGGTCTGTCAACTGCTTGGCGTTCAACGAGAAGAAAACTCTCGTGTCGCGTAGCCGTAAGAACGACCGTATCATATCTGGAGGACCACTATACGAGTGTAGCACAAGTATCGGAGGCAACTTCCCACCCTTTGCAACATCTTGCAAAACCTCCAACAACTTGCCGTGGTACCCCACGCAGTGCAGAACGCTGGTTCTTTTTAACTCTGCCGCCAACTCCAGTTGCACTCGAAACGCAGTCATCTGCACGTCCAGTGGCACTTGTCGACCCCGGACACTTTTGCACAAGCCAATTTCTCCCACCTGTGTCAAGTCATAATGGTCAAGAAATTGCAAGTTGAAGTTGTAATCAGGTTTAACAGTCCTACACTCGAAGCTGGATAGCGCGTCAATACATTCCGAAGTGGATCTAAGCTGTCCGATGTCGCCGGCCACAGATCCTGAGCCCACCAGGGGTGAATACCGAAAGATGGTACGATAGCTACCGCCTTGTCATCTTTCTGCTGCTCCATCAACAGCTCCAAGACACGCCAATCTCGTTCGTGAGTGGCGCAGGACACGACATGAGTAATATTAGCATTGCGAGCTCTATGAACCACGTCTTCAAACGCGCGACGGCTTGATGGAGAGTCACTGGACCACAGACGCTCGTCGTGCAAGTGGCAATGTGTGTCGACAAGCGGTAACGTCATAAAGAAGCGATGAAGATGAGTCGTCAATTTGATATGGCGTCGAGCCAGCTTGTCCATAAAAGCTCGAGAATGACACTAAAACCTATTTACATACATAAAACCACGATACCTTCCCTGTCAAACAGCCTAAAAATCTTTCCGGTGAAAGCCATCAGAGTGAAAAAATAAAAATGAGCGCAAGACGTGCTGCTTGGGAGCCCGCAACGGAGCAGACGCTGCTTGAGCTCTTCGAGAAGGCGCGCCAAGACCCGAATCTGCGCACTGGCCGCGGTATCAAGGGCAGCACATGGACAAACATCATGACGGAGCTTAACAACCGCTGCAAGACATCGCTCCTCATTGGTAAGTAATTGAATTTAAAATAACAATAATTCTAAAAACTACTTAATTTAATTGACAGACCAGCTCAAATCCAAGTATGCGCGCCTTATGATGGACTACGACCTCTTCAAGGAGGTTGGAGGCGAAGAATCTCTCAGTGAAGAGAAGTGGGATGCGCTTATCGCTGCTCGACCTGAGCACGCGGCCAGATTCCGTCAATTCAAGGAGCTCGGCTGCGCTCACGTGGACATTTGCCGCCGTATTGCTGCAAGTAAAGATGAGACGGAGGGAACACCAGGCCGGAAGCCTAAGGCGGAGCGCAAGCCGCGCACTAAGCGTGCAACGCGATCGGATAATGGACAGCCAGACCATAAGAAAGCTCGTGCTGGCGATGGTTGGACCCTCCGAGAGGAGAAGCTGCTTCTCTTCCTGTGCTGGAAGGCCAAGAACGACCAAGAAGTGTTCGGAGAAGAAGGACTGACGCCACAAGGCTGGACAGACGTCACCGCGGAGCTCAACAAGTTCTCCACCGCCAATTTAAACGAGAGTACGTGGGCTATCAAGAAGTTATAAACATTTTTTTTCTGATGGTGTGATATGCTCAGAGGAGGCCAAGGACAAGTACGAGGACCTGATGCAGCGCTACAATCAGTTCAAGATCGCCACAGGGTTTTCCGGAGATCTCGCCACGAACCCCAAAGACGAAATGGACTGGGAGCGACTTCTCCGCGAGCGTCCGGGACATTACACGGAACTGGAAAGACTCAAGGAGATCGGCGGTTTCCCGTTTGTTGAAGTCTGCAGTCTGATTAAAGGTGAGTGCAAGGTTTTAATTTATTGTTTTTATCAGCCCCTAACGCTTTTTTTTCTATCTCAGGCGACACGCAGCCCAATGGAATGGGCCTCACTACCACTGCGGACTTTTTGGAGACTGGAGCACTACAGTTGCCGGCACCTACTCTGATCAGCCAGAGTCAGTCGGCTCATGCCATCGCGAGTGCTCAAGCTTCACTGTCAGCTAGTGCTCTCTCGTACTTGCTGCCAGCTACTGCCAACCTAGTGACTTCTATGGCTCTGTCCTCGGAGAATGGACAGTCGGAGATTGCAGGGGCGATTCCTGGTATCAATGCACCAGGAAATCCCGCCGTCTTCAGCCAAGAGCTGCACGACAACCTCAACATGTTCCTGAAGACGGCGACGGCGTATTTGGTGATGCTCATCAACGATCACAACGGACAGAGAGAGCTCTAGTGCAGCTAGCGACGAGGGCTCTGCCGTGAGGATAATCTGTGAGTAATTGAGTCGACAAAAAGCTGAAGGTAAATCAATCAATGACAAACCTATGAAACAGCCTACATGGAGACCGTTACCTGTCAAATAGCTTAAAATACCACGCATTTTGATCTCTTATCAATATTGAGTGGAGAGACCATGAAGCAAGCGTGGGGCTACCAACGAGCTGTGTGGGATCACGCCAGGGAGCGCGTGCTGCTCGATGTGTTCGAAAAGACACGTCGAGACCCAAAGCTGCGCACAGACCGAGGTCTCAAGGGTCTGGGCTGGGACAGTGTGGCTGAGCAGGTCAATGATCGTTGCAAGAGCACCTTCAACGTTGGTACGTCATAACTCAACTATGCAGCCACAGTAAAGCACTATTGTTCACATTAATAACATGCTGCGCTACAGATCAGCTGAAGTCTAAGTATGCGCGCCTAATGATGGACTATGAACTATTTAACGACGTGGGCGGGAAGCGCAACTTGAGCGATGAGCACTGGGACCAACTGATCCTTGACATGCCCGACAGCGCCCCCCGACTAAGCATATTTAAGAAGTCTGGCTTCCCTCATTGCGATATTTGCCGTCGTATTGCTATCGAAAGGGACGAACTGACAGTCTCGCCTCGAGGAACTCCGACTACGAGGACAGCCAAGCGTTCAAGTGGAACGATTGGACAGTTATCTGAGACCAAGAGAGCACGGCTGTTTACGTGGGGTCCGAACGAGATGAAATTGGTGTTGTTCTTGTGCTGGAAAGCAAAGATCGAGCGAGAAAAAGCTCAGGCTAGCGTGGAAGCCACCAAACCCCAACAAGTGTTCCTTGAAGCCACTACTGAGCTCAACAAGCACTGCAAGACCAACTTCACTGAAGGTGCGTGTCTTGTTGATAGTAGAGATGGATAAATTAGTTAATTACTTAATTTTGTTGGTACAATGTAAAAAATTGTAGAGCAATTCAAGGACAAGTATTTGCAACTGATGCAAACGTACGAGCAGTTCAAGCAATTGACTGGTTTCTCGGGTGATCTCGATGCGTTCCCAAAGAGCGATAAGGACTGGGACAAGCTCATCCAAGAGCACCGAGAGAACAAACAAGAACTCGAGCAACTTAAGAAGAACGGAGACTTTCCTCACGTCGAGCTGTGCAGTCTGATCGCAGGTACGATCAGACGTAGCTGACTGAACTACAAGGCTGTATATTTATTAGACTTTTGTGTCTTTTTGTGACTGCTATAGGAGACAATTTTAGTGATGAAGTGGAGCTTGCAAGTGTCAGTGAATTCCTTTTGACGGGAACACTCCAACGATCAGAAGTCCAGGACGAGCTGAACACGGAGTCTATCAACGCTGTAGCTGCCGCTCAGGCCTCGCTGTCGGCCAGCACTCTGTCTCAATTGCTGCCAGCTACAGCAATGGCTTCTACTGGCCAGGTTGACCCACTAGCGGGTGCGGCGCCGGCCACCATGACGCAAGAGCTGCATGACAACCTTAACATGTTCCTGAAGACGGCCACGGCGTATCTCGTCATGGCTATCAACGACCACAACCAGGGGGCCAACAAGTAGGTTGTTGCACTTCAACTTGTTTGCTTTTATGTTTTTATCGCCTTTTTGCCACATAGTTTTGCGATAACGGAGTGAATGACTTTTGACCTGCATTCTTGATTGAAGAAGTTTCATCCACATGATGAAGGGCTCGTCATAGTGCTTGATTGGGAAGACTGACCAGTTTCACTTTGCAAGTCGGTGATGGGACTTAAAACCACACTGTACATTTTTGAAAGTTTACGCCCTTTCTATAAAGTCCGCAATTGTAGCTTGCTTTCTGTTTATCTACGACAGTACAGTTCATTGTCGAATGTCTACGGTACTTACCGACAAAAATGACGTTACACACAATACATTGACCAGCATTTCTAAAGTCTCTTTTCGAATTCTAACGCGGCATGCCGTCTCCCGGTCAGGACCACGCCGCGGCATCGCCGCGCTCGAGCTTCGTGCTGCTGGATAGCAACGGCCAGTACTCTCCCGGTACACACAGCGACGGAGGGACTCTACGTACCCGGCCCGAACCGTACCGCACGCCTCATTCTCTGCATTCTTTACGTCGTCTATACCCGCCTACACCGACAGCCCACAGCGATGACGACGGCACCCGAAGCGAAGGTGGAGGCCATCGCGCTAACCTGCGACGTCGAGAATCCATCAGCGACCTGTTTCCGATGCCTGGAGCCAGCGTCTTCACCACTCCAGCCAATATTATGCCCACCCGAGAAGCTTCGATTCTCATTGACACAGACGTACAACAGGTTGCAGCACAGGACCCAGGACACAGACTAGGAGTGCAACCTGCAGGCTCATCGATATTGCAATCAGTGCTGGAACAGAAAGGCGAAGGACGCGGTAGCAGACTCACGAGCTCCACTAACGCATCTGCACGAAATGAGGTGTTAGAAGGGGAGAGTTTGGGCCACAATACGCCTAGTGAGAACACCAGGTCACGCAGCAGTTTTCTAGACGGAATTCCACCCATGGAGCCTGTAAAACGTGGCGCTCGCTGGGCTTTGAGACTGCGGCGATGCTGTAAGTGGCAGAACCGACAGATACATCGCTGGCGGTTGAGACACAGAATTGTGTCGCTCTGGAGACGCTTGATGCCCAATTGGGACTCGTTCGAACTGAACGTGACGTTGTCAATGGCGGTGATTGGTGTCGCGCTCGCTGTGGCCATTGCTAAGGTCCTTTCGGATGCCACACCCGATCAGCTTCACATGGTGGCGCGCTGTGCTCTACCTGGAGGTATGGCAAGCTACACGGCGTCGACAGCGTATTTGGCTGGAGTTATCATCCCAACAGTGAACAACGTCGTGTTTTTCATCGTGGCACTGTGGATGGGGTTGCTTTGCAGCCGCAGTCGTAAACGTGTGCTTCGAAGTGCACCATGCAGCATCAGCTCCAACCTCAGTACGTTTTTGTTTTTTATGTAGTTTTTATTACTTATCTAACTGTTTTTAACATGTTTTTTTACTGACAGAGTCGGCGTTTATGCTTCCGTGTTACGAAGCGATTTGGTATACGATCGCTGCGCTGTCAGCTGCTGGATTGGTGTTGTACTTCGTGAGCTTCCAAGCGTACAAGAGCGACAATGACAAGACGTACAAGCCGTTGACATTGGAGGACGACCCCAACTACCCATGCAGTGTAGTTACCATGCCTTCCGTCTGGGTGTTGCAGCTATTGCCGATGCTCATGATCCAGCGTAGTGTCTCTCAAGAAGCCGTTCTTCGCGCCATCTCGTACTCTGGCGCGGTGTGTGTCGTCTTAGTGATCTGCTACATGACGTTGTACAAGGTTGGCCACGACCTTGCAGACGCGATCGCGATGGTCATTTACATTCTGCTCTTGCTGTTCTACTTCTGGGCCAAGTTCGTCTTCCACGCGCGAGCCACTTTCGACTTCTTTTTCGTCACTGCTGTGGTCACTTCGTTCGCTAATATCTTGAGTTCCGTCATGGGAATTGCGCATGTGGATGCAGCCACCACGTTGCCGATTGTTCACTGTATTGCCACGGGACTGGACTCGCTTACTGTCGTAGCGGTGATGCTCTCACTACGTGCCGATACTCGCTACTGGCTGGCTATCGATGACAGCGGAACGGGTACAAGTGCGTCATCCAGTGCAATGCGTCGGTACGTGAATTTACTCTCGGAGCGTGGCATGATCACGAATTTCTCCACTCGCACCTCGGTATATGACGTACACCACATGATCGAGGAGCACCGACACAACGTTGTGGACTTCTCAGCTCTAGCTTTGGACTGCATTATCGCCCAAGGTGCTACGTCCATTGTGATGCGTGGGACGCTACGTCGAAACACCCGTGTCCCCATCGCACTCAAGATCTACACCGACGTACAAGTCACAAACGAGGAAGTGCAGCGATTCTCCCGGGAAACAGCTTTGAACGTTCAGCTGTCGCATCCCAACGTCGTGCGCTTCTTCGGTCTCTGTGTAGTCCCACCGTCTATCTCTCTCATCTTCGAGTTCTGCGAATACGGCGCATTGGACGCAACATTACGTGAGAACCCTGAGATCTGGACACTGGCAGCGAAACTCAAGGCGTGGCTGGATGCATGTCGCGCTGTGGCTTATCTGCACAGCTTCTCGCCTCCATTACTGCATCGTGACATCAAGACTGACAACTTCTTAGTGGGTCAAGACTTCCTCATCAAGCTTGCAGACTTCGGAGAAGCCAACTTGTTGCGTCCACGCTCTGATGGCACCATGACGATTGCCGGTACCGTCGACTACATGGCTCCAGAGATGATTAAAGGCGGCAAGACAGCACGATACGGTACAGCTGTGGACGTGTACAGCTTAATGATCACCTTGTGGCAGATCATGGTGCCAAGTCGGAGTCCATGGGAAGCCAAGTCGCATCTGGAAGTCTATCGCGCCGTGGAGAATGGAGAGAGACCTCCACTACTTCCCACGATCCCGAAAGGCTGCGCGGAGATCCTTGAAGCAGGTTGGGCGGCTAACCCAAGTGATCGTGTGGCTGTGGAGGACATTATCCCTTCTGTCCATCGCCTGTGGCTGCTCGCAATGCACCAAAAGCCTCTCAAACGCACCGAATGTTGAGGTTCTGACAATGTACCTGGTCCATGGAGACTGGGACGCTTGTATCTATTCCGTAACTGTTCAAGTCTGAAAAATCACAGCTCAGTTAATGATCGCGGAGGCTCGGACGCTTCTTCTGCTTTGTCTCGATGACGATGCTTTCGACTCTTCTTGTGATGCGAAGAGGATGACGCTGCGTCGTCCTTGCCTTTCTCCTTTTTCTTCTTCTTGGTTTTAGTCGAGCCGGGAGTTGCAGAGCTGTTCGAGAGCGACTTGGAGGATACTCCTTGCTTCCGTAGTACCTTGTCACGCTGCGCTTGTCGTTGTTTGACTTGCAGTCGCTTCTTCCGCTCCTTTTCCTTTGCCTGCATCTGCTGCCAGTCCGTGTCGAACGCTTGAGACTCCACTTTCCCTAACACTGGCTCGTCATCTACCGGGGATTCCTCAAGATCTTCAAGACTGCCGTCAATTGAAGATGTCGCGTACTTGCCGAGCTCCACGTTCTCATCTGAAGGCGTCGACTGAAGAGATGGCTCGTTGCTGGCGATACTTGTAGGTATGTCTGCAACAGAAGACCGCTTCTTTGGCGTCTTGATCTCAAAACTGAAAGCCTCGTCGTCAGAGAGAGATTCCTTCTCTTCGTCTTCACTTCCACCATCATGATTAAGAGGTTTTAGGTCCAAAGACGAAGACGAAGATGCTGACAGGAAACTCACGTCTCCAGACTTGTCGAAGACGTCGAAGCTAGCTTCTCTCTCGTCCTGACTTGTGTATGCTTCAACAGACTCCTCAGAGCTCACTTTGGAGAGTGGTACATCGATTTCCACAGCTGAAATCACCTCGTTCAAACTGGAGCTCGGTGCAGCTATCGAGACAGGAGGCGAGCCGGTATCAGCAATAGTATGACGTTCATCCTCATTCTTCGTGGCACTTTCAGCTGTCTCCAGAGGCTCACCGTCCTCCGACTGCAACAGAGACTTCAAATCCACATCATCATCAGTCTCCTCTAGTGTGGTGACGGACATCCAGTTGGAAGTTGTATCCGCAAGAGAAGCTGGAGCTTCTCGTACCTCGCCCTCAACAGCAAGATCACTTCCGTCCAGCTTGAATTCCGAGTTAGTATCCAGTGCGCTTGTCTCCCAAACAGTATCTTCCGTCGACTTCTCCGCTGTAGCATCCCCGATGGTTTTTGATGAGCCCGACTTGCGAAATTTACGCCCTCGTGACTTGGTTTTCCGCATTTTCGCCCAGTTGATCGAAAACTCCTCTTCCTCGTCGGCTTCTTCCAAGCTCAACGAATCCACAGAGTACGAGAAGCCACTATTCATCTGGCTTAATGATGCCACAGACTCCATGTTTGCAGCTGTACTGGTCGGTTCGTCATCCGTCAAGGACGTCGACGAAGCCTGGGTCAACAACGCACTTGTACTTGGCAGAGTCGACGCAAGTTTCGCTTCGATACTCAGCCTTTCATCAAGCCCGTCGCCTCCGTACAATTTGGCCACATCTCGGTCATTGGACGTGTCGAACAGAGCATCAATCGGGTCTTCCTCCTCGGTTTGCTTCGTGGGATTAGCAACAGGCACAACACTAACCGCAACCAGCTTCTCTTCTGCGTCATCCAAAGTCAAATTCGCTACCGTATCCTCCACTTTTTCGCTCTCCTTCCGTCGAGATTGCTTACCACGTCGTCCCTTAAGTGACGTGAACTCTTGCTCGCTATTGGAGCCTTCTTTACCTGGTACGAAAGCTTTAATCTTTCGACTTGATCTTCGCCTCGACTTCGGCCGTCTCTTAGCCGATTTTGGTGCTAGTCCTGCGTCGTCATCGCTGTCCTCGTCATTATTAGCTTCTGCCGTCTTAGCTCCAGTCTGGAAGAGCGCTTCGTAGCTAGTAGCCCCACCCAGACCTTCCTGTTCGTTCGGACTATCCTCGAACAGATCTGCAAATGAATCTCGGCGTTTCTTGACTGGCTTCTTCTTGCTGGGAGGTCTTCGTTTGCTCTCCCTCTTCGCCACAGGTCGAACAGAGTCATTCTTCTTGCCACCCTCTTCTTCACTGCTGTCGTTGTCGAAAATACTCTGCTTGCGAACACTTGGCCTCGTAGTTCTATGACTGACACGCGGCTTACTTCCTCCACTTCCTTTTCGATTGCGTATCAGCAACTTCAGCGCCGCCAGCTCGCTCTCCAGAGAGCTGATCTTGTCCACAATAATCTCCGCAACCTCGTCTTCCACTTCTTCGCCATCATCATTCTTCGACGTGATAGTAGCAGCAGTTGACACAACAACTGGAGTGTTGTAATCACGTTCAAGACTTTCGTAGATATCCCTGTCAGCCCGCGACTTCGGCGACTCTAAACGCTTGACCTGTTGAGCCCGTGGTGGGACTCGAGCTGCTACGTATCCACCCGTAGCTGGGTCGAACACGTAGTCGTTAGGTTCTTCAAACTCGGCAAAGAAATCGTCAACAGATTCTTTGCCTGGAGTTGGCTTCGACGTCGCATTACGGTTCAGATCGTCCATGATATTCCCAAGTAGAGCAGCCTGTGTATCAAGAGACTCGTACGGAGATGACGCGCTAGGCTGCAGACTCGTTGGAACAGCATACGTCGCTGTCCCCAAAGCCGGAGTTGACCGCACATTGCTCCACGTAAACGCAGACGTTTCTGATTGCCTCGTATCGCTTCGATTGTTCAGTATCGACATGGCAGCCGACTGTCTCCATGCCTCAATAGGGTCATCAGTCCGAGCAGAGTTCTGAACTGGCTGTGGCTCATCTCCAAGCGTAAAGCCGTCAGCTTCATCAACTGATCGTCGTCGATCAAAGCGAGAAACTCCAACTCCAGGAGCTGCAGATGCTGCACTTGTACTCTCCCCAACACGCGCAGTCCAGCCATTCGCTGCTCGATCTGCGTGGCCACCTACGTTGTTCTTAGGAGACTCAAACAGATCATCAAACGTACCTCGACGCTTACGCTCAGTTTTTGGCTGAACTTGCTCGTACTCTTCACTCACAGCAAGTCTCGCCGGCATCGAAGCTTCGCTAGCACCCGTAGCAACGACAGACGCTGGCATAGTGTATCGAAAACTCTCCTGTGCAGCTGAATCTTCTCGAGTAGCTCCGTGATAATCCACCACCGTGTGACGTTCCACTGTCTTTAGTTCATCCGGTACAACGTCGTCCGTGTGTTTCTCCTCACTGTGTTTGTCAGTACTCTTCTCTGTTGCAGGTCTAGCAGGTGTGGCCTTGACAGTCTTGGGCGGTGTAGTCGTCCTCTTCGCTTCCTTTGATCCCATGCCGAAGAACCGCTTCAGAGCTCCAGTAAACCCTCCCTTCGTATTTCCAACAATCTCTCCAGCATTTCTGCCTTGACGACTCTCAACTGGAGAGTTTGACGTATGTGACGGCAAGTCCACGATGCTATAAGACTCCTGTCCACTTGAAAAGCGATGAGCTGGCACACTCGGTGGCAATGCTGAGCTATTCACCCAAGCCATATCACTTGCAAGTTGTCGCTGTTGTTCTTCGTCCTTCTTGCGTTGTGCTTCTCGCTCCGCAACAGTAGCTTCAAAGAAACCAGGCGAGTCATCCACAACCAGTTTATCAGCGTCCTTGTCATAGAGCGTAGACGCAACGGACGTCACTGTAGGACGCGGCATGGCCACACGTGGTTCGTCCTCCGACGAGTACGAAAGGTTTAGTTCATCCATCGTCATGCTCTCGTCCCCGCGTGCTCGAGGTTTCTTTTCCTTCTTCACAGTCGCCTCTCGAGGCTTTGTGCCACTAAACACGCTCTGTCTGGTGTCGTCATAACTGTATGGCACAGCTGCAGTTTGTTGCTTGGGTCGAGGCATCGCAAGCGATCGGTCATCGTCATGGCCAAGTCCTGGACCGCTCACATCGTACTGGAATTGCTCCGAATAGTAGCCATTCCCAGTGAGTCGACTGGACTTCACACTGTGGTCAGCATACGTCGTAGCGGTCTGTTGTCTCGGTCTTGGCATCGCAACTGACAAATCGTCTTCATGTCCGAGTCCTGGGCCACTGACATCGTACCGGAACTGGTCGGAGATGTAGCCATTCCCTGTAATTCCAGCGGTTAAAGTGCTTCCAGCCATGGGCACAAGCACCGCGTCACTCGCACTCGTGACAGTGTACGTATCCTTGACACGATCTCTCCATCCTGGTCCTTTCGACCCGCCACGGTCGCTATCTTCGCTATCACGAGTACTCGCTTGTTGTTTCGGTACATCCGTGAACCAATCGTCGTCTGCACCGTCAAATAGCGAGCTCGACGGCTTCTTCTCTGCTTGTTTCCTGCTGGGCGGCGGGTTTGGAGTTGGAACTTGTGATATTTGTCCATTTTTCTCGCTTTTCTTGTCCTGATTCTTCCTCATCTTCTCTGTAGACGACATTGGAGTCATTGCGGCCGCTAGACGGTGTCCATCTTCACTGGAATTGTCCATTACACCCGTTTCTCGCTGACCTGCAAGCGTTTCCCTGTCGTACGCGTCTTGTTCAGCCAGTAGCTGGTTGTTGCAGGGCACACACACTCTGTGCTTGCGGTGTGAGAGCTCAAAGTACAGGAAGGACGAGCAATCGGAGCACATGACGCGCCCACAGTGACGACAGTGGTGTTTACGCTTCACGAGCGAAAAATCCGCTCGACAGAGGCCGCATTTGGCCACACGGACGTCGGATTCCCACTGGACATCGAATAGTTCCTGGCTGCTTTTACGTCGTGGCCTTCCGCGCCGTTTGCGGCGTTTATCGGGCTTTCCTGAGGCTGTCAGGTCCGTTAAGTTGCTCGTTGTCGAGCCAGCTCTGTCCCTTACGTACGACCTGGAGACGACGCTGCTAGAAGCCAAAGGGCTACGAGTCGACGGACGGCTTCCTGGCGTCACAGGAGGGACGACACGAGTCTCGTTCTTACGGGTTTCCAGCTTTATAGAAAAAGAGGAAGCAGACGGACGGGGATTCCCATACAGATCGTCGAATTCTCCGTCATCCTGGAGAGTTTAGAGATAGAATAATGCCGTTATGAAGAGGAGAGTTAGAGGAGTCGTGTAGAGATGATCGCTTCGCGAAAAGAGGGCGCGTACCTCGTCAAAGAACGGGTCGTGCATCTGGCCGGAGCGGTCGTGCTCGGGCTGTTCGCGTTTTTGGAGAATGAACCGATTGAGTTGCCTAAATTTAGCGCAACTGTGCTGCAACTTAATAAAATAACTTTCTGACTTCAACGTCAATTTGTTTTTATCACAGCTCGATTGATGATCCCTTGGTATCCGCAAATTGCCGTTTCGTGCGTTTTGGCTTTGATTCTATTGTGGGTCTCAGATTAGGTCACACGAAAGTTATTTGTGGCTTTAAATAAGCTTTTTTCTGTGGGTTTTACTCGAAGCTCTCCGTGTAGTGAGAATCCGTTAAAGGTGGAGCCTGTCGCGAAGCTGTAGGCTCCCATGCTGGGAAATGCGATCCAGTCACCAACTTCCAGAACGGGAAGTTACGTCTCTCGGACAATGACATCTTTGCCGTCCATCGTCGGACCCCACACACTGCACGGCACAGCTTTCGACTCATCAGCGTTGGCTGTTTTCAGTACTACGGGAGTAGACACCACACACAAGTGTGGCGTACTGAAAGATCCGTGTCTGCCGTCGTTCACTACGTACATGTAACGTGGCAGATCAGCGTTTCCTTCCGCGGAAGATTGTGCACTCACGGTGAGCTCTGGATCCACCTTTCTCCCGATTACGTTGACGCTGAGAGTGGCGCACGCTGACACAAAATATCTTCCCGGTTCGGAGATGATTTTCACCCCGCTGCTTTCGGGAAAGAGTTGATCTAGCACACCGTTTATAGCTCGTGCTGCAGCTTCAAAAGTGACAGGCCCCAGGTCGTCACCAGCGAAGCCACCGCCAAGATTCAGTAGTGTAAACTTGTATCCTGCGTTCAGACCCATGGTGAACGCTTGCTTGGCACGTTCAATCGCGTCAACAAACGCACTTGCTTCTAGAACACCGACACCGACACCGACACCGACATGGAAACACACGCCAATGACGTTAAGTTCTTGGCTCTTTGCTGTCTCCAGTAGTGCCGGGACGTCAGCCATTGGAGTACCGAATTTTGGTCCGAATTGATGACGCGCCTTGGAGTCGTCGACTTGTAGACGCAACACCAGCTTCGCCTCGGGAAACTCGCGCTTAATCTTGACAAGCTCGTCCATCGAGTCGAATACCGTGAGAGGCACGTTGTGCTCGCGAGCAAAGCGCAAGTGCGAGCGCTGCTTCATCGTGTTGGCGAAGATGATGCGCTCAGGCGGTACTCCGTGGCTTAGTGACATCGCCACTTCCGATTGACTCGCAATCCACGCCAGCACCGAGTTTAGCTAGCAGCGCCAAGACGTGCGTGTCCGGGTGGCACTTGACGGTATAGAAGGGAAGCACACGCGGAAGATGCGTCACCATGCGTCGATATTGACTCGCAACGTGCTGCAGGTCGATAGTGTAGAAGGCGTCTTCGGCCTTGTCGCCCAGGGACTCAATGTGAGCTCGAGATGCGTCCAGCAGGCGTGCGTCGACACTAGTCTTATTGGTACGTGGTTGTCGAGCAAATTCGGGAGTAAGAGCCTCAAATTCCTTTATAGCGTTAGACGGTGTTTGCGCTACCCGGAAGTGTCGTCGTTAGTGCGGTGGCACATGTACATTGGTCGAAAACACCGCCGTCGGCCGCGGTCATGCACGCCACTGACGTTAAGCACTTCCTAATTTGTGTCACCAACCAACACTAAAGATACATTCGTTAACACAGCTCAGCGTCGAACGATTGGTGACGTTAGAGGGAGATGGGCATGTTGCAGTCTGCACGAAACCATGACGACAAGCCGATTCGTCCGACGTCATCAACAGCGCTGAAGAAGCTTGCACCAGCTTCAGTTTGGTCTTATGCGCGCATCTGATCCGCAACCCAAGTAATGACGCGTTTCAGCTCAGGTACTTGCTCTTTTGCCGCCCTAGTCCAGGAGACGCGACGCCGAACTTTCGTCGAGCATCGCTTCGAATCTCGTGCCCAGCCCAGTGCAGCTCCGCTGTCGTCCTCTGCGCATACTGTCAGCAGCCACGCTAGTAATTAACGGAATCTTCTCCAAATCACAGTCGCAATGGACACATCGAAAAAACTCGATACAGTATCATTGCCTGCGGTCAATTTTCCTATCTCGAGCGTCTGGATTTTGCCGCCAGACGCGCGAGATGACTTTTTGTGGGTCAGTGAAAAAGAAGGCAAACGGCGGCGTTGGGGCGTTGACCAGCCCAGCCGTTGCCCGAACGCACCGCACTTTGTGGAGCAGCTGTAACCACCGATTTTACCTTCTGCTTGGCGAAGCGGTGTACAACGAAGCGATTGTTATTAATAAATTAGGCACAGACATCACTTTTGCTTTTGCCTTGTTGCTCACATTTGCGACCTTCCAGTGATCAAAACGCCCACATAACTATGAGCGTTGTCGCAGCTCTCCCCACCTCAGGGAAACTGCGGCGACGAGCTCGTCCTACTGGTGCTCGCGTGCCTGTCAAGTCTTCCGCGTTGCTCGCCGCGCTGCTCACACTGAACAATGTCAGCGGCCAGACGCTGCTCCGAGTAGTGAAGACACCTCTGGACATGCACAATGACGTGCAACGACTACTGGCTGGAGGAGGCCAAGAGGGAAACCCGTACTGCAACAACTCGAACTCGTTCCTGGGCGTAGGCAACACGCAATGTCTGCACGAGAACCTCCGCACTGCCGTGTTTCTACTGACTGTGATCGTGGCCGTGTCCATCGGGGTGGACCGACTGATCCACCACGTTCGCGCCGCCATCAAGTGTCCGCAGCTTCGTAAGATTGTGAACCGCATCTTTGAGGAAGTGATGATCCTGGGCTTCTTGTCCATGGTCATCTTTACGCTAAACACAAGTGGAGCCTTGAAGTCTTTGGCGTTGAACAACCTCACGGCGTCGGAACAACTGCATTTCTACGAGTTCTTCCACTACATCGTGTTCCTAACGATGATCTACTTCATCGTCATTGTGTTACTACTTCTTTTCATCGGTACCGTCGTGCCTAAACTCGTCTGGGAGATCAAAAACCAACCGGATCAAAGTCGAGAGAGCATCAGTGACATCCACGACGACACGTACGACCCACAATATCCCAGTTTTATCAGTAGTGATCGAGACGACTGCGGCGGGAGTCGTCGTATGCGCCATTCCTTCATCCGAGACGCGTCCTCGTTGGCTCGCGATCTAAATCCGTACAGCTCCGGCAGCAGCTTCATGGACGATGGCGAGCGCACACTCGACACGCCGTCTGACGACTACTACATTGCCATGCGCGCTCAACTGCGCTCCGATGCTGACGTAGGGAACCGTACGACGACAACGAGAGCAAGAGCTCCGTCCGGTATGGATCTGGTCATGGGATCGCGTGCCTACAGTCTACTACTGCAACGCTATCAACGGGAAGGCTGGTGCTTCCACTTCAATATCCGCAGGCAGTGGAGTCTCTGGAAAAGTTTTGAAATCCTTGCCTACAATATTTGTCAAAATCGAAGTGGCTACATTTACAAGAACCCAGCGGAGATGGAGCGTTTATTCGGCGTCCGACCAACACAAGACGAGCAAGAGAATCGCATGACGTATGCCAAGTACCATGTGCTCTGTATGCGCAACTTGCTGTACCACATGACGAACATCCATCCAAGTGGCTTCCTCATCCTGCTCGTCATTTGTCTGTTGCCGTCTATTTTCCCTGATCAAGATCACTGGATCTTCATTGGCGTTGGCGGCTCGTTGCTACTTGTCAACGTCGTTATCTTCCTTAAAGTATTGAAGATCCTACGTGGCATCGTTGACGACCGTCTTCGTATCATCACGAACCGAGACATCCAAGCACGTCTCGACAAAGTGATGAAGGGCTCCGGAGCTCGTACCAAAGGCCGTAAACGCAACCAACTAGTTGATGCCGACTCTCCACCGAACTCTGTCCAAGATTCAACCGAGGACGACTCCAATCCCGCTGAAGATGGGGCTCAGAATCGACGCAAGAAGGCTCCAAAGAAGTTCAAGGCTGCAGCGCTAGCTGTCCGTGCTGTGATCCGGATGCAGATGTCAGCTCTGTGTCATCGACAACTGCATCACCACGACGACCGATTCTGGTTCAACAGTCCGAAGTTGCTGCTTCGTCTCTTCCAGTTCGCAACGATCGGTCAAGCTTTCTACTTGGTTTGGCTTTCGCTCGTGGAGATCAGCAGCATGACGAATTCTTCGGTATCCAACGGCGGTGGGTCGGCACTCTTGGCTCTTATGGTGACGTTCCCGGCGTTGTCTCTCTTCGTCATTACTCCACTCACGATGCCGAGTCTTGTGCTGGTTATGAGTCTCACTGGCATTTTCGTTGATCTTAACGCCAGCAATGGTGAACAGGAAGGCAAGCACCGCAATGTGACGCAGGAAGAAGTGAAGACCCACACGAGAATCATTCGGCGTTCGTTCCTAAGAAGCCATTACAGTGAAGGAGCTGGAGGCTACCAACAGCCTCCTATGACACCTCCACTGCGCCCTGTAGCTGCACTATCCTTACCAGAGGAGATCTTGGAGCACCGAAACTCTGTGGCGTCCCCGACCAACGTGTTTCTTCGCGCTTACGACTCTCCAGCCCATGCGAGACGCAGCTCAATACCCTATCAACCTGGTAACAATAATAGCTCGGTCGGTCGCAGTAACTCGCTTGGTAATAATCCGCTGACTCGCTGGATGAGTCACAGTCGATCAGTTGGGAGCATTGGCAGCGTTGGCGGAGATGACAATGGGTACAGTTCGAGACGAGCATTCAACCTCGCAGCTTTCCAGTCCATGGTTTCTGTCAATAATACGACTGCTACGACCAACAATAATGAGAACCCGGCAGCTCAATCGGCGTCCTCATTCTCTAGCAGCACCGGTAGTGTGGGCAGAAGTCCTCGACCTAACAGGATCGAGATCAACGTACCTGGCCCGACGTGGAACTGGAGCCAAGCAAACGTTGAGCCAGACGTACAAGTCAGCAACAATGTTGTTGATGACTACAACGAGCAAGAGAACGAGCTGGAGCAGATTTCAAGTCCCGTGTCTGCGACCTTCAAGAGCTACTGCTCCAAATATGGTGGCTATCCAGACTTGTAGTCAACAAGTCGAGTTTAAGTTGCGTTTTCCAACAAATTTTTGGTGTCTGTCGTGCTATAATAAATCAAAATAACAAATAAGAATCACAAAAAGAAGACCGCTCGATATCTACCAGCAATCCCAGAACTCACATAGACGTCGTTCGCACGCTTGTGAGTGCGGTAGTTAGCCATCAACAACTAGTAAGTAAGTGAGGTAAAAGGGGTGTTTCTTTTAAGCCATTCATCAATGCGTTTAAAGCGTACCATACTTGTATGTTTGTTAGTCGGCTCCACTGCAGACGTGCCACTCATCTCAGGCCACTCCGTTTCCACCCGTTGTCGCAGTTAATCCCAGAGGCTTGTAAGCGTATTTCGGTCGAAGTGCACGTTTCTCTTCCTGTCATGTCAGAAAATTAGTTCCAAGACACACAACACCTTGAAGAGATATTAGACACGTACCATGGATACGTTTTCGTCGGCATACACCAGTCCCAGGTCGTTTTTCACTGCCTTCTCAGCGGCACCATCGAACACGTTTGTATTGCTGACTGCCACACCCTGATGAGCTCCTGGCGGCATCCCCATCGGTGTCGGTTGGCTTGGATAACCAAGTGCAACTGGAGGATGTGACATCACAGTTCCAAGTGGCGGAGGACCTCTTGCCCACAGCTGAGGCACACCAGCGTACGGAGGGTAACCTTGTGGTATCGCCATACGAGGTGGCGGCATAACACCCCCAGGAAAACCTCGAGGTGGAGGTGGAGGCCTCATCGGCATTCCAACACCAGGAGGGGCCATTCCGCCTGGAAACTGCATCGGAGGAGGCGGCCGGCCACCAATAAACGGCACCCCTCGACCAGGATAGCCGCCCATCATAGGCGCGTCCAACCGGGGCTTCTTCGGGACGTTTCCATCAGCATCTGCAAAGTAAAATACGTTATTGTCCGTTTGACTTGAATATTTTTTGCTATATCAACGCATTGAACCAGTGAAATCTCACCTGGTACGCCTTCCATGCCATACACCTCGACGTCGACGCTTTCTTTGCCCGGCTTAGCGTTTGGGATGCTCTGAAGCGTCTCTTTGTGCACCTGTTGGGTGTGGATGATCATACCGCTGATGGTACTAAGCTTCTTGTGGCAGGCAGGGCACTTGAAATGACGCGCCTTCTGGTGCAGAATCAGCACCTTCTCGTCATCAAAGTTGCGATCGCAGTAATAGCAGAAAATGCGCCGCTGCGCAGCCTCGCCGGCGCCGTCATCGCGTCGCTTCTTCTTGCCCATAGTTGCCCCGACCTTCTGCTGCGATCCGTTATTGCTGTAGAAGCGACGTGGTGCACGCAAATTAATGTTCTGTACACAAGGTATCCAAATTGCAAGCGTCTAGCATTTCAATATGGTGAGCGTGTTGTTCGTGTGCCTTGGCAATATCTGCCGTAGCCCGGCAGGCGAAGCGGTGCTTAAAGGTATTGTGGCCAATAGAGCAGGGGCGGATGCATCATCGTTTCACATCGACTCGTGCGGCACTGGCGGCGGCAATCCGAACTGGTATGGCGCCGGTGGCTGGTCGTATCACGAGGGAGATGCAGCAGACTCCCGCATGACTAAGGAAGCTAAGAAGCGTGGCTACGTCATGACGTCTCGCTCGCGGCCATTAAACAAACAGGACATTGACGAGCTTGACTACATCATTTGTATGGAGGACAAGAACAAGGCGGCAATGCTCGAGGCTGCGGATGCTTGGGGTGGCGCACCATGCCGTGACCTCGCCAAGCAGAAGATCTCCATGATGACCGACTACTGCAAAAATTTCAAGGACACCACGCGTGTGCCTGATCCATGGTACGAAGGTGGCTTCGACCACGTATTGGATCTGCTGGAAGACGCGTGCGACGGACTTTACGGTCACCTTGTTGCCTCTAAATAATAGGCACCAAAAGTGGCATCGAACTGTACAAACAGGAGGAGTACCTTTGCCTTCTTATTGTAATGTGCTAGTGCGTTTATTCAGTATAAATAAAGCGCTGTCAAGCAGATTGGAGTTGAAGGTTGCCATCCTCGTCGAAGGCATTGAAATGTGGCGTTGCAGCTGTGGGTTGGTAATCCCCTATCAAGCTAGCATTGTCGACGATGTTCCTCGGGGTTTTCTCTTGATCTGGGTCTATGCTAGTGGACCCAAACAGAAGAGTAGGTTCGTTAGCTGGTGATACTAACGCAACCGAAGCCTGCCACGTCGGTGAGGGACTTTGTTCCTCAATATCCACCCAATCAGGCGCTCGCAGCTCCCGTCCTTCGTCTTCTGCTGCTCTCATATCTCTAGCACTTGCCACCGCAATCACGTCACTTGGTCGGGACAGATCACCAAGCTGTCGCGCGAGATATCGCATGCTTCCAGCTACATGCTAACATAATTAGATTAATTAGTCTACAGTAAATGGCATCACGTAAAAAAAAACCTACTTCAGTGTCTGCAGGAGACGTCTTCTCTGCTTGCATTAGTCGCCGTGCATTCGTCTACAAAGCAGCAATTGTAGATTTAAGTCACAGCTATCGACCACGCACTAGGAATGAAAGAGCTCTGACATGAAGGAAGCGCGAATGTTCACGTTCCAGACGTGTAGCAGCACGAAAAAATCTTCCAACATGGGCGATCGTCACCCACGCAGGTTTGCCGTACAGCAATTCGTTGCCGTCTGGCCGTCGTCGTTTACCTTTCAACTTCGATAAGAATAATTGAGTAGCTGGGAGTGGTGTGATTTGAGCCGTATGCTCGCCCAGCAGCTCACTGTAGCCACGACGAGGTTCAGAATGTCGACAACTAGGCGACTCGCACTCCTCCATCTCGTGATCACGAGTAGCACCCGAAACATGCCACTTGGTTGCGCTATCATTCTTCCGATTACAGACATTTTGTTCACATTTCTGATCAACTTTGGATCCCTTCACTTTGGTCCGGATATGTCGTTTACAACGCTTGGTTACAGTCTCTTCTTGACCAATTAAAGTGGACCGTGCGCTTTTTCGCTGGATAGGAGATAATAATGAAGCTGGCGGAGAAGTTTCCGACCGACTATGCCAGCGCGAACGCGTAGTTGGCGTCCTAGTCGGTCCCTCATTGTTGTCATCTTCACGCGGTTCGGTCGAGAAATAGCTAAACCCTCGCACGTCATCTGGCGGAGATGACGATTCTGTCGATGAAGACGAAAGCAAAACGTCTTCTTCTTGTAATAATTGTCTCTTGGCGTCCACTGCGAGCGTCTCCAACTCACTCGGATGGACATCCGGGAAGTGGTCAAACATCGACTGTAGTGTCGGTGGCTCCAGTTGTGGAGCAACTTGGGGATGAATCGGCAACGGGCTTTTACCCGGCAGCAATATCGCGTGCCATACACGACAGCCAGACTCAATTTCAGAGTCTGTTAGAAGTTGCGCCGACGCAGCAGGCAAAAACGAGGATGATACTGGGCATAAGGCGGTTCGCAACTCTCTGTAGTCGCGGATTTCAGCGACCACACTGCCATTGTAGTGTGCACATGCGATCTACGTCGTACAATAACATGTTATCAAGGACGTGAAAAGAATCGAGAGGATCCGAAATGACGTTTGCGAACCATCTCGGGGAGTCCTTCAGGGACGCGTCCGTTATCGATACAGGCTAGAAAATAACTTTAAAAGATCAAATAGATACGTTTTAGTCCTGAAGCTCTAATAGTCGCGTTGACTAGCAAAAGCGTATCCACCCACCTGGATTCAGCATCGTAAGGCTGAGCGAAGCCCTCGACGCCTTCATTTTCTTTGGTCATATGACGACAGACGAAGCCGTCGTAAAAGAGCGCCAGCACCAGTCCAACTGGCTGCTCGGCAGCTTTCTCACTAGCTTCTAGATATTTTTGCTCTCCATTGATGCTCACTTTTTGAGTATTTTGCTCCAAGTCATCAGATCCTCCTTGCACATCGGCATTCTCGAGACCGCCTTGTACTTTTTGGTTTGGTTTACTCTCCGTCGTATCTTCTGTTATCCGGGTCATTGCTTGGAAACGCACCGGTAGAACTGGCAGATTCCAGCTCTGGCGACCGTTTGGGCAGTTTACGGTCGTCGTTGACGTCCGAGTCTCGCGAAGAAGACGAGAGCGAGCGTTGCAAAACTGGAATATGGCTCTGATTTTAATGCCCGGACATGGAGCACTGCTTTTGATTTGCGATACTTACGGATCCCGGCTCGCTTGACTTTCCGTAATATCCACGCCCTTTCATGGTTTTCAAAAGAGTACCGTTGGTTAGAAATGTGGAAAATGACGATAATTGAGGAAAGAAATGCCATGGATTGAGTCTAGTTACGCGTCAGCCTTCTTTGCTTTCTTCTTGGACGGAACAGCCAAGTAATCGTTCACAGAAGCAGCAGTCTTAGAGTCTGATGTCTTCGCGCTCTGCAAAATTGAACAAAAATTAGAAACAAAAGTCTTCGGTTTAGAAACAAAGGGTCCAACTTATCACTCACCTTCTGATTGAGGAACTTCTGCTTGAGCGCCTCAACGGAAGTAGCGCGTTTGTTCTCCTCCTGAGCTTCCGCCTTCTGTTTCTTGCGCTTCTTGCTGGTTTCTTTCTCGCTGGGGGCAGCGTACTCGGCCATTTTGTCAGCCTTGCGCTTCTGCAGCACCTGTAGTTTGTCCTCGTGCTTCTTGGCTTTCTTCATAGCCTTACGTTCGTGCTCCTTCATGAAGTACTCACCACTCTCGATCTCCTTGTCCACCTTGCTGGCTGTAGGTGCTGGCGGGAACGGCGTGTAGTCCTTCTTCTCACGGACCTTCTTGGGCTTCTTGGTCTGCACGTTCTGCTTCTTGAATGTAGGTAAGAAACGCTCCCAGTTCTCATCTTTGAGCTTGGGATCCTTAGCCAACTCACGCTTGATCATAAGGCGCTTGACATTGTAGATCGGATGCACATTCGCGAAGCAATCCTCTACGATCTTACGCAGGTTGCGTAGACCGTGGTAGCTGCCCATAGCCGACACGGTGTTACCCTGCACTAGCACGTAGCAGTTCGTGAGCAGTTCAATGGCCTTGAGCGTGGCTCCGTCAGGCCCAACAAGACGCTGACGGCGCTTGACGAAGCGCTCTTTGTTGCGCACGAGGCCTCCAATCTTGATGATATCGCATTGCACATCGTCATCCAGAATTTTAACGGCCTGATTCACAGGAATACTACGCGCTAGTAGCTTGATGAGGTCGCGTGCCTTGAGCACAATGTACGGGTCCGTGGTCTTGCGAGTGGTGCGTACCGTCATACTACCCTCCACCAGGTTAAGCTCGCAGGAAATTTTGTGCGCATCTAAAGCCTTGGTGACAATAGGCCAGACCTCACGCAGGTACTTTTCGCGGTACTTGGGGAAGAGCGTCGCGAAAGAGCTCTCCTCCAGTAGACCAGGCATTTTGATCTTCTTGCCGGTATCCTTCTCGTCCTCTAACTCGTCCTGCCATGGGTCGATCTTCCAGTGGTCAATGTCGTCGCTATCCCAAGGCTTGTCTTTGCGGTGATTCTTCTTCTCCTCGCGAGCTTCCGCCTCCACGTGGTTGCGCGGCGCGTCGCCGTCGAACTGCTCCATCGTTGCAAAAGTTGCAAATGACTCGCGCCAGCCAAATTCGACAACAGGTGTTTTTGTTTTTTTGGGAGCTTACTTAAACATTTCCTATCTTTTGAAATGTTTTTGTGTTTATTTTAGTTTACAAGTTTTGACGATAATCGAAGTCTTCGTCTGCTACGTTTGACAATTAGCTCCCCAAAAACCAGAATGCATTTAGCAATATTCAAAACTGTAGCGAGCGATCATTTTTGTTGTTGTTATGCAAACAATTATAAAGGTCAATTGATCCCAAAAGCACCGGAGAAGCACATTAAATTAAACAATAGAGCCTCAAACCAACAAAGATAGACATTTAATTCACGACAATTGCTGATTAAATTTATAATACTTCACTTGAAGTTTAATACTACTCGTTCCGAGAAGGAATCCTACCCCTACGTGCGCACATCTTCTCGTTCTCAAAAGGTCAAAGGCGGTTCTCATACGTGTGGATGAAGACAGCAAATTCGCTCCAACAAAAGTAAGGAGGTGCAATTCGGGACCGGACAATTTTGCAGCTTGAAGTGTCATGACAGCTTCGGATGTGCAAAGAACCTTCTCGTCATGTGGCGCACATCACGGCGCGTGCGACGTTTCTCGTGCTCGAATCCAGACAGTTTTTAGCTCCTCGGAGGCTCTTTAGACGATGGCAGACCCGCAGGCGGCGCTTCCCGTGTGTGATCTCCGCCTCGATATTGACGAACCAGAAGAGGAGGACTCGAGCAGAAGCAGTCCTGTGAACGGAGAGAGTAGCGCTCTGATTGTCAAGCCGCCGCCACTTCAACTGGCAGTAGCTGCCGCCACTATGCAACATGTACCCAACGCCGAGCTCGTTTATCCGTGGGTGCCCACGGGACCAGACGCTGTCAGTATCATCACCCAGTCCACCATGACGACATCTCCGACACTGTTTACCACAGCGGTGCGCTCAGAGCCCGGCTTACGCACTCGCGACGGCGTCACCACTGCACTACTATCTGGTAACTCACATACCTCAAAGAACAACGACCACAGCAGAATGGACCCTCCACAGGGATATGGATCAATGCAACGCCGGAATTCGATTTTACGCATGAGTGCCAGCAAGACTTCGAGCGGTAACGGACTAAGGAAAAGCGCGTCCGTAGAGTTCGTACTAGACCACGCACACCGGCAGGCAGCACAGAGTATCCACGCTAGCACGTCTTCAATCGGACGAGAGCCACGGTAAGCGAACGAAAAGAGGATGAAAGTATTGAATTTTATGGCTGATTGTTGTTCTATGCAGCCGTCTAACATTCGAAGAGAAAGAGGCACTGTACCGAATTCGCCCTGATCTCGAGATCGACCCCGGTCCGTATTATAACGACGAACTTGAGGAGCTCAATCGAAGAAATCAGCGCCGCATTATCTTTGCTATGTTCGGTGGCATGATCTCCATCATCCTGTTACTTGTATTCTTTTCCACGTGGGAGCAAAACATATAAATTGTCAAAAAGAGTTTGCGGTAAGCCGTGTACAAGGTGCCAAACTCGACTGAGCCATAAATACCAGAGCGGAGTAAATATTATCTTCAAAAACTTGTCTGAATCATGGCAAGACGCGGCGAGTTGCTGAAGGGCAAGGGCGCCAATACACCAAACGCGTAGTGCTTCATGATAAGTAAAAGCACAGCGATAACAAATGGCTACACACCCGAAAATTGGCAGCCTAAGCTAGGATACACCGAAAACTAGATAGGAATACCGGTACTACAGTATTATTTTCGGTTCAACACCTCTTCCATTCACCTCCACAACGCGAGTCCCTTCCAGCTCTCATTGCCATGCGTCTCATCACACACAACCTGCTCGTGTGCAACAAGAAGGGCGTTGAAAATGGCTACCCTCTCGCTATTGAGGCCGAGGAGGTAGAAGTCGTGGCCTGCGACTTCCAAGCCGCGTTTGTGCGTAAAATGCTGACCAAACTGGATTGGAACGCCTTCCTGACCGGAGCGAAGGCGCTTAAGCTTGCAGACGGCTTCCCAGAGACGCTTCCTACCGCTGAGGAAGGAGCCACGGACGAAGAAATGCTGCGCAAGATCCACCACGCATTGCTGGAGGTGCATGTGAAGCAGGGAAAGCTCGTGTGCCCTGAGTCAGGTCGTGCTTTCCCTATCATCGACGGCATCCCCAACATGCTGCTGAACGAGGACGAAGTCTAAGCACACCGAGCACTAAACACCATGATAGATAGATATACACAAACGTGCTTGTTCACATTGGAAACATTACGCAAGGTGCCAAAACTAGATTCATTATTTCCTTTGCCGCAGCCTTGCCATTTTTACCATTAGCAAAGAGATTTCACAGATGCTAGCAGCGCTTTACATTGTTAAATGACTAAATCTGCCGGCTTCCGGAAGTAGTCCTTAGCGTTCTTGGAGTTATCGTAGCTAAAAAGCAACACAAGTCGAGTTAGTTGATTTTTCACATGTAGCCATTGAAATCTCGCCACGAACCGGTCATCGTCGTCGTCATCGTTGTAATTGTCCTTGTCTGACGGCCCTAACTGTGCTACTGCCTTAATCCACTGGATACGCAGCTCAAAGTCGCCTTCCTTCTGGTCAGCAATTGCAAAGCCGACCTAAAACAACAAATAAACACAAATTTTGGTTAGTCTAAGTAGCATCTGGTGAGTTCGAGCAGCTCGTACGCTTTTGAGCTTGGAAGGATCGAGTTCTGTCTCATCGTCGAGTTTCACGAAGCCCTTGGCCGTTAACAAGAAGTCGCGAAATAGCAGCTGCAGATAATTAAAACTCACGTTAGATAAGAAAAAAGAAGAAGGAAATAAAGTGTAAGTACGCACGGTAACATCCACCCACTCATTGGGTGGCGTCCGGATAAAACCCATGTACAAGTTGAAGGGATTCCAGCTCTCCATTTGCATGTTCATGCGGTACTCGCGGCCGTCCGTCATAATTCGCATTGTGATTCCTTCGTATCCATGGAGTAGTAGCTCCTGCGACACAGACGCTCGCACCGCGCAGTAGCCACTTCGAACTACACCCACTTCTGTCGGCTGGCAATCCATGCTCAATCGTCCAGCAAATACCGCTATGAATAAGTTAGTACAGACACTATCGCCATTCGACAACAATCCAGCTCACCTGAAGGAACATTATCCTTGTTCTTCACGTGGTGAATAAGTCTCTTAGAGACCTGCACCTCGTCTGTAACCTCTTTTTCTCGTTCGCCTTTGTAGAATCCCCACCTACACTCGGACAGGCCTACAAACACCAACTTGAGCTACTGTAACACCGGAGACATAGACATCCAGCACCACCCAGCGAGAACTAGCTTGAAATAGTATACCTCCAATCGATCTGTCACTGGATGCAGTCCAATTGGCAACAGATTCCTTGGCGTTGAATAGATAAATGTCCTTCTCGGGCTGCAGCTTAAGCTGGAAACCAAACGCTATCGATGTCACGACACAGAAGCCACAAAACGCCGCCACAATCAGCACCAATTCGCACATATTACCACATAGCCCAATGCAATCATCGTACACTGCTTGGAGCTCAGAAGCGTCGCGTTCATGGACGTCAGCGCCTTCCTCCAGAGCCCCATGGTGACGAAGCTGAGCTTTGACTTTGTGGGGCTCAAGTAATTGTCGAACTTAAAGGAGATCATACGGTGATATTTTAATTATCAGCCAATCAGACATGACGTCATTCATTCTTACTACGAAAATCGAAGTGTCCAGGTGCGCCATGAGTCTCCACTTGCCCAAGCACCACTGGGGCACCCGGGGCATGGATGCCTACGAGAAGCTGGAGTGTATTGGTGCTGGCACATATGGGTACGCTTCCTCAGTAATTTCTACCGTAGACTCTGTATATTAAACGCATTAGATCGTTAAAGAGAGCGGTGTTTAAATTGCTGACTATTGTTTGTTTTCATGGGTGTAGCCAAGTGTATATGGCCAAGGACAAGGTGACAGGCGAAGTGGTGGCCATCAAGAAGATCCGCAGTCTTAACGAAGTGCAGGGCGTGAGTAAGCAGCCAGTTAGAGAGGAACTACGCTGACGAGTCTGTTGCTGTAGCTGCCGGTGACGACGATTCGGGAGATTAAAGTGCTCAAGTGTCTTAACCACCCCAACATCGTCGATATGAAGGAAGTCGTGGTATCTGCTGAAAACGACGACGACGATGGTGAGAATTGAATCGCCAAGAGGAGAGACTTTACACTAATTTTTCATGGCTTGTAGCTGAGTTTACGGACAAAGATGAGCCTCTGGACTATTGTCATGGATCCATATACTTGGTACTCGAGTACCTGGAGCACGACTTAACGGGTCTTATTGACCGTCAGCACCCGTAAGTTGCCACATCACAAAGTTTTTCGAGCCCCTGAACTGTCATTTTGGCAATGTTGCTGTATGGTGCCAGTTTTAACGACACCGAGATCAAATGTCTGATGAAGCAGCTGCTCGGCGTCATGAAGTACATGCATTCCATCGACATTATCCATCGGTATGTGCGTTTAAAGCACGAAACACTATCCATGCCTTCTAACTCTATCGTTTTGTACAGGGATATCAAGTGCTCCAATCTATTGATGACGAGAGATCACATGCTCAAGGTGGCAGACTTTGGTCTTGCGCGCTCATTGCGTGGCGACCAGCTGTTCACGAACAAAGTGGTGACGCTGTGGTACCGTCCGCCGGAGCTTCTTCTTGGCGCTACGAGCTACGACGCCAGCATTGATATGTGGAGTATTGGCTGCGTGTTTGCTGAGCTGTATATCGGCCACCCGATCTTCCAAGGCAAGACTGAACTCGAGCAAATCACAAAGATCTTTGATATTTGCGGCACGCCAACCACCGAGTCGTGGCCCGACTACAAGTTCCTGACACACAGCAGCACCTTCGTACCGGACAAACCGAAACCCAAGCGTCTACGCGAGTATTTGATGCGTGAAACCACATCAAAAAAGAGGATTTTGCCCAAAGGAGCGCTCGAGTTGATCGAGGCTTTGCTCGTACTGGACCCAGAGCAGCGATTGACCGCGGGCGATTGCCTCAAAGCCCAGTACTTCCAGACGCGTCCGTATGCCCCTGACGACCCCAAGAAGCTCCCCCCTATTACGAACCTACCTCCGTCGCACGAGTATCAGACCAAGAAGATCCGTCGTGAACAGGCCAAGCAGTTGAACGGAGGTGCGAACAACAGCAACAACAACACCGGAGCCGGTGGAGGACGAGTCTCACGTCCTGGAAGTCCCAGTGGAGGTCGCTCGAGACAGAATAATGCCAAGGAAGCGGCTGAAGTGACGGTGAAGATGGAGATCAAGAGAGAGGAAGATTTCGCTGCGAAAAAGCGGCGACGTGTGGCATAACCGAGCTCAATTCTTTGAATCTACTCGGAAGAGGACAGAGAAGCTGTCAATGCGTGAGATAGCGGTTCCTGGACGACGGTGACGGAACAGCCTTCTGGAGCTGAAGTACACATCAAGATCAGCTATTAACCCTTTGGAGAGAGCAGAGTGTTACGTTGACTTTTACCTGCAGGAGTAACGATGGATTCTTGGTCTTGACGATGTTGTTGACCTCCTGGAATAACGTGTTCGTTATTGTAATTATGATAAGGTTTCAAGAGTCAAGAGGGTCTTACATGGAGTCGTGTCTGCAGCACTTGAAGACGCGACTTCATGGAGGTGTAGCGGAAGGTAATATGCTGTCGAATCGTGACTTCGGAAGCGCGTACGAAGTCGACGGACAGCAGTTCGATGAACTTGTACTCCATGTTCTGGATAAAGTCCAGTCGAGCTCGACCGTCCACCTGCATGAGGTACACTGCGAGGTGGTTGTGAGGCTCTTTGATGCAGTTATTGAGCATGCGGATCAACACATTGGCGTAGTCTGTGAAGTCCACCATGAGCTTCTGCTGCTCCTGCATGGCCTGGAAACTCTCCAAGTCGCATGTGTGCGTGTATAGGAAGAACAAGTCACTCTCAGTCGACAGCTCGACGCGAACCACGTGTATATCGGTGTCACTTCCCTAAAACATTTCATGAACTTTATCGTAACAATATTTTTTATAAACTTTGAGAGCTTTTACGTACCAGAATTAAAATCTTAACTTTGATAGCTTCAAGAGTTCCAATCTGTTGGGGAGTATTATCGGCATCCTGTTCACGAACAATACAGATAAATATTTTATCAGCCTTCGCTTATTTTTTCTTTAAGTAACATTACTTGTTACCTGAATTCTCAGCTCAAATGGTGTTTCTCGGTCGTAGATAACACGAAAACCTCCAGCTACAGAGCTCACGAGGTCGATAATTGCATTAAATGCCAGCAGACAAGCCGCTGCACGTACCTAGACTTGGATCTAGTTCGTCGGTGGTGCTTACTGGGACGTGTGCTTCACCATTCACATCCACATATCTCGATGAACCGACGGAAGAGGACATGCTTTAACGGGTGAAGCGTAGCGTTCACTTGTGTTGGCGTCGGCCGTTTTCGTTTCCAAAGGGTCGTAGATATAACTTGAGGTCGATGCTTGTCATGGCTGTTCGCTAAAAATACGGTCTTTGATGCGACGAAAATGGACCTTGATGGGCTAGCCATCGTCAGTATTAGAGTAGCGGGAGACCCGATGTCTCCGGGGCGTGGCAGCAATGGAGTCACAGTGGCGAGTAGAGTTGCCAGTAAATTAGAGTTTCAGGATGTCGAAGAGAGCGACGCTATCACGTTAGACAACTTTGATGAGACCGATGCTATGGCTGACCCCATCCTGAACAGCCCACGCTCTATAGAGGTACTGCTACGACGTTGCTTTTCTCGTACCGAGGTATACTAAAACACCGTTTGATTAGGCTTGTCGGATGCTTGGCGTGGAGCCCGACGAGCTCATTCAACGTCCACTTGAGTACTTTACCCGTTTGTCGAAAGGTAAGGATCGGGAATTCGTCAATAAACGAGCTGCGAGGTACGAGAAGAGTCGGCAAATTCAGCTGCGCAATGTGCGAACGCAACGTCACGAGCTCATGCAGGCGCAACTGGATGGAGGTCACGGTACTATGTCGATGAGAACACGTAGTTTCTGTCACTCCCCCGTGGGGGCAGCTCGTCTTGGCTTTGGGACTTTACCCAGCTGCTGTTTAGCCTCCGTGCAAGATTTCTCCGTGATCGGACGAGAGAAACGAGAACTGGAACGGATTCAACAGCGACAAGCTCTTGAGCTGCAACAAATGCTCAATTTTGAGTTTAAGATGGCCGAACTTCATCAGGAACGAGAGAGGAAGGAACGAGAACAAAAAAGAAGAGAAGAACAGTTCGCTTTGGAACGTACGCGACGACAACGACAAGCGGACGAGCAACGACGGAAGCGAGAGCTCGAACGAGCCGAACAGCATCGTATCGAGCTCGAATTGGCTAGAAAACAAGCTCAAGAGCAGCAGAAAGAGACCATGCGACGCGAGCAACGGACCAAGCAAGAAGAAGCTCGTCGACAACGTGATGCTCAGCTCAGTGAGAGAGAACGGCAACGTCATCAGGAAGAAGCCAGAGTTCAGAACGAGATGTACCAGCTCGCTCAAGAACGAGAAGCTTCTCGAAAGCTGAAAGAAATGCAAGAACGAGAAGAGAGATTGACACAAGAACGAGAGCGACAGAAGCATCTTAAAGCTCGAGAACTAGCAGACAAGCAGGCTCGAAACACGGCGCGTATCGCTAATGTACTGCAAGAGAAAGACTTGCAGCGTAAGTATCAGCTCGAAGAAGCAGCGCGTAAACAGCACCAGAGTGAAGAACGACGTCAAGCGTTTGAAGAAGAACGTAGAGCGAAAGAAGAAGAAGTGCGACTGCAAGGACTGCGCAAGAAAGAGACGATCGAAGGCGTTCAACACCAGCTAGCACTGATTGAAGAAGAACGTCGAGAGCGTCTAAGAGAACAAGAACGACAGGCGCAACTTCGACTCATGCAGCGTGAACGGGAGAAACAACAGCAGGTAGAAGCCCAGCAACGTGAAGAGCGAAGACTCGAGAGTGAGCGACGTCGAGCGTACGAACGTATGGAGTCTCAACTGCACGAGAAACAGTCGGCTATTCTTCGCAAGACGGAAGAGAAGGCGATGATAGCACAGAGGATGCAGGAACAGAAGCACGCGTCGGTACGAGCTCGTCTTCAAGACGCCAAACTACGCGAGGAAGAGATCCAGAATGCTCTTATACGTAAGAACAAACAAGACGAGTACCGTACTCACTTGCTACTTTCTCGTATTGAGACGGACAACCATCGTATCCAGCACCTCAAAGAACATCGAGAAAACCTCATTCGTCGACGACAGCAGATCAAGCAAATGGCTAGTCGACAGAAGCATGAAATTCTTGAGAGTTTTTACAAGATGAAAGTCACGAAGAAGATGGAGTTACCCAAACATATCACAGCTAATATGACTGTTATTCGACCACGTTCAGCGTCTGCTGCGATGTCTAATACCCGGTCGATAGACGATGCGAATCCCAGAGCAACGCCAAGGACAAGTAGAAGACCGATGAGTGCAGTAGCGAGACGGCCACGTAGTGCTGCGACACGTCGTCGACCTGTTACGAGTCGAGATCGCCAGAGTCCGTCGGATTCGGACTCGTGCGTTGGTCCTTACAGTGCTGATGATTTAGAGAAAGCGCAAGAAGTGGACGAAGAGGAGAAACGTGTTGCTGCGATTAATGAACTCCGAAGACGACAAAATGAAGAGCTGTTGAAAGTTCTAGAGGAAGAACATCACGCTGAAGAGCAGCGAGAACATCTGCTGCGTCAGGGGAGTTCTGCTCGACGTGAACGTGTACGATTGGAGAAACTTTTCGATAAGGAACGAGCTCTCGCGAGTGAACGCATCATGCTACTCACTGACCGCCACGAACGCGCGTTGGCAGCAAAGATGGATGAACTGCCCAATAGTGATGGCTAGATCGTCACAGTTTCTGATGCTCGCATTTCAAAGCTACTCAACAATACGGCATTCCGGTTAATTTGGGTTAAACATTTTTTTCCAATAGCTTCTGTCGATTGATGCTGATCGAGGGAAATATCGACTGCTAACACGAGAGATCTATTTCGGGTTGTCCCAGTCTCCGGTTTCAATCGAGATAATGACCCCCCGTTTTCAGCACTCGACTCTTTTCCGTCACAATAGCTTGTAGCTCCCATAAACTCGTCGAACTGCGTCGGTTTGCCATCTTCTGCAATTCGGTAGAAATCAGCGTTTTGCAGTTTGCAATCCACCAGAGCTGCAGCTGTGGATCGCCAGCTTTGCTAAAATATGTATTTTGAAGCCCCCTTACCATCACCAAGTGAATCGACGATTCATCAGGCACACGTTTTATCACCCCAGCAGGCGGTAAGGCGTTCTTACGATCCATACATTCGCAAAAAAGGATGCAACCATTCTTGTTCGCTTTCGAAATAATGCTATCGACCTGGTTCGAGTTTGCAGTGCGAATGAGATTGGGAAATTTCGCATCGCTGTCTTTCCACGCATCCAAAAGCATCGTCGGCCATTTCATATTAGGAGGTGACAGGTACGGAATGACACTCGCGGTTTGGGGATGGTTGAATGGAATTTGAACTTCTGCATCGACATCCTTACCCACGCCCAGAGCATAGAGGAATTTGCCTAAAAATGATGGAAATTTCATGCCATGAAACTTCTCTCGGAATTCTCACGAGGAGAGCATCCTCTTGGAGGATCCGATTGTTGAAGTAGCCTTTAAACAGTTTGATTACTTTGACCTAGTCACTCCAAGATATTATAATGAGAATTAGGAGGCCCTGTTTAAGTCGGAATGACTGGCTTAAACTATACAAACACTAATGGCTGGTGTACAGCTATTGGTGGCTTCCTAATACTAATAAAGTTCTCACTTCGTCTTTTGACGCCTACAAGTAACGTCGTCTTCTTCTTTCTACTTATATTCGACCTGTCATACGAGCTATAGGTTATGAGCCCAAGCCAAGCCTCAAGCGACGACTTCCCACGTCTCATCGGCGCCGAGAATTTCGACGTCTGGAAGACCCGTGTGTGCGCAGTACTAGATGGCAAGCACCTACTCGGCTACGTGAAGCAGCCCGATTACGACGGTGTGTCTGATGTGACGGGGTCACACAGCACCTTGCGCTAGAGGAAGTTATCTTCCGAGAGTATACAAACTCTCAGTGAACGGCAGCTCACAGGTCCCCTCTTTAATTAAAGAGAGCGAAGTGACCTAAATAAGGTAGATTGTAAACTGAGTATATTTATAGGTAGATTAAGTTTGGGTTTAATACAAACTATAAGTTACCTATAGAAATGCAATGTCATTTAACCAATGGTTGGCTTTGAACGACCTTGGTACCTTGTACCAAATATCCCGGAGTATGACGTGTCATACTCCTGAAGTGTGAAGTGTCACACTTCATGTAACCAGGGTACACTTAAGGCTACGTACCCCGTTACATCCTCCCCCACTTAGGTTCGGTTTACCGACCAATCAGAATGAAGAGGTGTTCGTCACAAACTCTCATTCTCAAAGTCGAAAACCATCGACTTGGCCGCGCGAGCGCGGCGGAGGCTCATTTCACAGTTAGAGCCTCGAGCAGCAACCTGTGCGCTCAGTGTCTAGGTCTCCGCTTCGACCGTTATCATGCCTCGTGGCACTGCTACGAGCGGTGCTAAGACACGCTTCAAGGCTGCTGCCGGTAAGGCGCAAGCCAAGAGCACTAAGCCTCACGGCAAAGGCTCTGCACTTAAGGAGGCTACTCAGGTGGCCTCCGAGGCGATCGGATCCTCGGGTGACGCGGCTGTGGACAAGCGCGCAAGCAGGCACCGCAGTCCGTCGCCCTCGTCTTCAGACAATCGTCCGAACCCTCGGTTCGTAGAACGTGAGTTCAACTCGGGCAGTGAAGACGATGCCGAGTCCGAGAGCACTCATGATGCTCCTGCGGGCTCTGTGGGAAGGCACAGCCCAGTGCCCAGTGAGCACAAAGATGACAGCGTGCAGTCGCCCGCTAGTGATCACGGTGATCACAGTCCCAGGACCTCTGTGCGCTCTGAGAGTCCGGCCGTTAAGGCTAAATGCGCTCCCAAAGCCGGTGGCGATGAGGAAGAGAATCCTCGCAAACGTCTCTCGCTTGCCGAGGGTCTTGCGCGCGCTAAGGCCTCTAAAGCCGAAGGCGCCAAGCCCTCAAAGAAGCGTACCGCCTCTAAGTCTCCACTCCGCGAGGAGAAGGAGACTCGACGCTCCTATCAGAGTCTCTTCGGCTCCTCGGATGAAGAGGAGGAGAAGGAGGAAGAAGAAGAGGAGGAGGAGGGTGTATCGTTGAGCCCCGGGAGGTCTCGAATGACCTCGACCAGCAGCAGTAGGATTTATAAGCTGCCCAGCGTGTGCGTGGGGGTTCGGTGGCGGCACCCGTCAACCAGGGAGCTGCCATCAACTCAAGAGGGTATTGGCCACCCGAGGAGAGCTCTGGGGCTGACCTCTTCTTGGAGGTTCTCGTCGCTCCTTGTGGCCTTGTTGGCGGCCACACTTTTAGGGGCATCTATGAACAAGCCCTTGTTCAGAAAGAACAGTTGCTCGTCGACAACTTGGAGGCTGCTCGGTGTGTGTTTCTCGCGCCACACCGCATTCCCCTTAAGGACTTCACGACTTGTCGTAAGAAGCCCGAGACCCGGGGTGGTCTCTATCCTGTTTGGGGATACCCCTGGGTTATGCCCGAGAACTGTCCCACGTGGAGTTCTTGTGAGGACATGTTCTGGGCGTGGGTGGAGACTCTCAAGTACTCGCCCACGGAGTTATGGGAACTCCATGAAGATCAGCAGCTGTCCCACATCCTGGACCAGCGTGATCTTCGTGTGAGGTTTGCCCACTTGATCAGCAAGCGTATGCTGCCAAGGGACATCCTGAAGCGCGCGGCTTCTAGCGCTCACGATGAGCGCGGGTACGGTATGTATTCATCGTCCGTACCCCGTTCGGGCAAGAAGCCCCGGACTACTTATGAAGCTGCCGCCGCTTCTGTTCCCAGATTGCGACAGCCTTCGGGCAGTCAATCAGGAGCCGTTCAATCGGCTCCCACGAGTTCTCGGAGTGGGCATGACCCCTCCACTTCACGAGGAGCTGTCGCTTGCCGCGACACCGTTGCTCCTGGAGGATCCGCTCCACGTGGAAGTGGACTTCTCCATTCCGGTCAAGCAGGGGCGGAGGTGCCCTCGTACGAGTACGAGTACTCGGCGCCTCCCGAGAGCCACTCTCGTCCGAGTGCTCCGACTGCGGGTCCGACACGGGACCCTGAGGTTGACCGCCTCCGTCAACGTGTCCTCGTGCTTGAGATTGCACTTAGCCTTGGGACTGGCGGTAATGCTGCCGCCCAGGTCGGGAATCAGGGCGAGCTCGCTCGTCTTGCGGGTCGCCTGGACCTGGTGGAGCAAGAGGTCGCGAGCCTGCACCTGCGGGTGGATCGCCGGGCCTCTTCGTCCGATCTGGACGAGGCCTTTCGCATGATCCGACGGATCGAGGCTTTGTTGCCACGTCCGGAGCCGCCTGCGGCACACTCCCAGACGTACGCGTATGGTGCGTACCCGGCGTTCTCAGCGTACCAGGCGTATGGCGCCGGGGTCCGTTCGTATGGAGCCCCTCCGGCGTACGGTCTTGACCGCAGCCTTGCCGTCCCGACCGAGGCTTGGGTGCACGCTCCGACGCCCTCGTCGACGACTGTGACCGGCCCTCGCTTCGAGGAGCTGGGTCAAGGGGGTCTGCGAGTCAGCAACCCCCTGCGGGTTAAAGTACCGCTTAAGACGTCCGACATAGAACGTCGGGTGCGTCGTCATTGACTTTGGAAGGTCGATGGTGTACGACGCACCATGTCTGGCCAGGACTGCAAAAGGTCCGATGAAGCGGTGCTTCAGTTTGTTGCTGCCGACAGAGCTAACAGTGTCTAGAGGTAGGCTCCTCGTGTCTAGCAACACTAAGTCACCAATCTCAAATATACTTAAGTTTCCTCTTCCTTGTTTGTCCGAGTACTCCTTTTGTTTATCTTGGGCCGCTGCCATGGCATCGCGGACCCTGCTGACAATGTTCAGCTTGGTATCCATAAAGGATTCCACCTGCTTCCGCAGCGAAACTGGCCTCACATCCGAGACCTGGATGGAAAGGGCTTTCCGAGCCTCTCCTCCACTTAGAATAGAGGAGTCAGTGTCTCCTCGAAGAGTGAGAGGCACTCTGGGGTGGCGGAAGCCGTTCAAGTAGAACGGCGTGAACCCCGTGGACGCGTGCACCGCGTTGTTGAGCGCAAACTCAACAACTGGAAGCTGCGTCGACCACGTACGTGGCGCTGCCGCGCACACACTGCGCAGAGTGTCCTCGAGCACTCGATTAACGCGCTCTGTTTGGTCGTCTGTCTGCGGATGATCCGCAGTGGACATCTGCAGACGAGTTCCCAGTAAAGGGAACAGCGTTTTCCAAAACGCAGCAGTGAACCGCGGGTCTCGGTCCGAGACAATCGTCTCCGGGAGACCGTGATAGCGGAACACGCCATCAACGAACAACCTTGCGGTTTGTTCGCCCGTTACAGTGACGGGAACTGGAGCAAGATGTACCATCTTGCTCAGCCGACATACGAACACCAAAATTCCGGTGTTGCTGTGTCCGTCGGCGCGAAGCCCAAAGATGAAGTCAAGACTCATCGACTTCCAACAATCAGCCGGTACGGGCAGGCTCTGTAGTGGAGCCGAAGAGTGCCCTGCGGGTTTGACCCGCTGACATGTTTCACATGTCTTGACGTACCGGGTGACCCAGGGTCCACCAGAAGGACCGAGAGACCGACAGAAAGGTCTTCTCGCGGCCCAAGTGGCCGCTGGAGGGCGCGTCATGCGCCTCCGCGAGGTTGTCACACTTCCGATCCTCGTCGTTGGGTACGACCACCCGTGGAGGATCAGTGGGCTCCACCCGGTAATAGAGGAGGCCCTCCTTCAACTCATATCGGTGGAGCCGTGAGCGCTGTCGCGACGAGAGCCAGTCGGACTTCGCGCTCGTTCCAGCCTTAAGGAGCTTGACGATAGGTGCGACAGCCTCATCGTCCCGATACGCCATGCGTATCCGATCATATAGATCCGTTGTCACCCGCGTGATGTGGGCCAACTCA